AAGTAAATAAATTAAGCAATGTTTGATAATTAATGGGAAGCCCGTTGACTTGACTTTTTTTTTCAATTTTTTTAATTATATTTAGAGTAGTAAATGAATCGAGTCTGATCAAATATATATTTATTTATGATATTTTTATTTAATTTTAATTTTATTTATATTTTTTTTTGAAAATTAATTTTATTTATATTTGATTGTGGTTGTTAATAATTTTATAATATTATTCATATCCGTTTAATTTTTTATGAATTCCAATAAAAATATATTATTCATTTAACACATTCGTAAATATACATATATTGGTGTAGTTTATTTTTACATACTTAGGGGATGTTTGTTTACTTCAGAATGATTAAACGCTAAATGATTCAGAGACTCTGAATGGTTTGACTCTGAATGTGACATGCTGTTTGATAACTGGCTCTGAATGATTCAGAATGTACTTCTGTGCTGAATCATTCTACACTGTTTTGCTGAATAAGTCAGCATTGAATCATTCAGAGGTACGAAACAAACGCGCTGAATGATAAACGGTTCAACATTTAGAACTGAATCAAATTTTGAATATAAATTCACTTTGTGACATAACAGATTCGTAATTTATAAAATTAAAGGTTATCTTTTAACGGATTCGTAATTTAAAAGTTAAAGATTATTTTCTAAAATAATAGATAAAGTATTTTTCTTGAATAATTATCTGGATCAAATTGGGAAAAAAAAGGTGTCACTCCTTGGTTGCTCTATCATAACCCGTCCCTTTCCTAAAGTGTAGAAATTGATCACCACTCTACGTCAGTGTGACCTATTCAGGTGCCCTTCCACGTGTCTTCTAGTGGTACAAACCGTAAATATCATCATGCCATTGGCTTTTCCTTAACATACCCCATTCTCCTCCTTCCTCTCCCAATCTCTTTCTTTCATCTTTCTCCTCTCGCTTCAATTGAAATAATTTTCCTTTAACAGAAACTTTTTAAATTATAATAAATTTATTGTTTTTCAAGAAGGTATTTTCGCCGAAGTTTTCAGTTCTGTCCCATGTTTTTTAATTATTGTTTCCCCCTTTTTGATATTTTATAGTCAAAAGTTTGTGATAATTCGGATGCACAGGGAATGGCGAATTTGAACCACCAGCAGATATCCATGTACGATTCAGGTGCCATGAACTTACAACAGAACCTGGAAGAAGAGCAAGATGATGACGTTCCTAGAGGCGGCGGCGAGGGAGGCGGTGGAGGTGAAGAATCGGTGGATAACCCTCAGATCGGATACCAAGAAAGCAGCGACGTTCTTACTGTTGTGAATAATGGCATGGAAGAACCTTCTCATGTCCATATTTATGGTAAAGGATCTGATTTAGCCGGTGGTTCCGGTAATGCTGGCGCTGATCAGCTCGCCCTCTCATTTCAGGGGGAAGTCTATGTGTTTGATTCGGTTTCTCCTGATAAGGTTCGTTACCTTTTCGCATCTGGGTTAAGGTTGATTGCGTTTATTAATGAGATTATTCGTTAATTTGGTGAACTATTTAGCCATTTTTTTTGTGTTTTAGTGATAATAATTTAGCTGAAAATCATTGGTTTTTGCATCTTTGTTATGAGGAGGTATAATAATTCCCTTTACTCAAATGATGAAAGGTCCTGTTCCATTTCGCCTCAATTTATATACAGTTTCTTATAAGTCATGTTTAGCTTGTCTGACTGTTATGCTGTGCGTTTGTTTATGATGTTTCAACATCGAGTCGTGTTCTTATGTTGCATTGATGGTCTAATTCTTTGTATTTGGTCTTTTCAGGTACAGGCGGTATTGTTACTTCTAGGTGGATATGAAATCCCTTCAGGCATTCCTGCAACGGGGGCAGTTCCTGTTAATCAAAGGGTATGCCGTAGACTAATGGTTTCTGTTATCTTGTAATGAATTTGTTTAGGAGGGTTCTGTTTCGTTTCATGGTTTGTACTTCTTTTATTGCGTTATCCTAGGGCATGGGTGACTTTCCGGGGAGGTCGGTTCAACCACAGAGAGCTGCTTCTTTAAATCGGTTCAGGCAGAAGAGGAAAGAGCGGTGCTTTGATAAGAAAATCCGCTATACTGTGCGGAAAGAAGTGGCTCTCAGGTATTCAGATGATCAGTTTCTCTACTTTCTCCACTTGGAGCTTGTTTTTTCAAGCCATTTTCTAACATGCTAGATGTGGTTTGTCAGGATGCAGCGCAACAAGGGGCAGTTCACATCAGCCAAGGCAGTTTCCGATGAAGGAGCGTCAGCCTCTTCAGGCTCAAATGGGACGCCAGGTTCTGGACAAGATGAGCAAGAAACCTTGTGAGTAGCTTTTCCTATGATCGGATTTTTCTTTCAGTCTATAACTGGACTGGTGTTAGACCTCACTTAACGATCGTACTCCAGGCCAGGTGATTATGTTGCTAATATAAGGGAGTTTTGTAGATATCTTCTTTAATTTCCTATTGTTTGGCATAAATTTTCTGTGTAGATGTAGGCACTGTGGAATCAGTTCTAAGTCCACCCCTATGATGCGGCGCGGACCTGCTGGTCCAAGGACGCTTTGTAATGCCTGTGGACTCAAGTGGGCAAATAAGGTTTGTGAAATCACAAAATAGTTTTTTTATAAGTCTGTTCCTCGTTTGACTGCATGCAGGCTCGAGAGATCATACAACGAGATGGTTGAGACAATCCACTCACTTTTCGATAATCATGTGTTCTTTGTGATTATAATGATATTTACTTGCACAAGGTTATGATAAATCCTTGTGATTGTTAGAACAACATATCTCTGAAGTATGACCTGTAGTGAGGGTAAGCCATGGACCCTCTTCGGCCCTATAGGTTTGCTATTAGTGGCTCGAGTTTCTTCGCTCGGAACTATAGGAAAAGCATCTTTATTGGGTGCATAATCAAGCAAACCTTAAAAGTTTGTCAAAAGCCTAAGTTTCTTACTCAATGATCTATCATAACAATCTCGGTTCTTAGACGAGAACAGGCAATAAAATCAAAATTTTAAAAGATTTTAACATCGAGATTCTCGTTTCGTACTTGAAGTCTAGTAACTTGCAGAAAACAACCCATCTCTTAGAAAGTGATAAATCTTCCATAATCTTTTGTAATTTCTTTGGTTTAGTCAATTGGGAACTATTGATTTGCAGGGTGTTTTGAGAGACCTTTCAAAGGTCTCCACTGCAGCAATCCAGGATGCGACTGCGAAGACCACCGAGCAGGTATTGCCAACTCATAAACCAATATTGATCATAGCTATTCATTACTCATTTTCATCTAGTTTTTGTTCCCCAAAGTAGTCTATAAATCTTATTAAATCGTGTTACTTAACGGGGTGTTTATCAGAGCGATGCTGAAGCTAATGACGCGGAGGCTGTAACTGCAACTACAGATGTTGTATCTTCATCGAACGGAGATAACTCCACCGTCACCACCGAAAGATGAGCGGCCAGTTCACTCGTTTACAGTGAGTGTTATGTTACTTACTGGTTGGTAGGCAGATGTCAAACTTTGTTGTAAAAAACGGGTTGGTTTGACAACTGTATATATATGGTTTTTCATTGTTTCGCTCATTCTGTAAAGAATTGCGGAATCGTGAGATAGCGAGATACAGCCTAATCAGTGTCTGTAACTTAGGAGTAAGAAAAACAGAACACCGAGTGTTCATGTTAGAAATTGTTCTTCCATGTCTGCTGAAATGGCAGCTTGTTTTGATCTTTTCCTTTCTCTTGTCCACACAATTCTCTGCTCATCGTCTTCTCGACAACTATAAATGGTCAAATCGTATCGGATCATGGCCGATTCGGTTCATTATCAGTCATGTCGGGTTCGTTAGCGTTCATTAGGGGTTTAATTGTTAATGACCGAAATGAAAGTTTTTCTTTCTAATGGCAATAATTAAATTGAAAGATTGTTTTTGCACAAATGCATTCTTCTCTCTAAGAAGAAAATTTAGTCTCTACGACTTCAATTTTTTTTTTAAATTTTATATGATTTTGATTAATATAATAATAAATTTAACTTATAATGTTCACATATTATGTTAATTTAATTATGATTTTATAAAATTCAACATATGATTTACACATTTGTAAATATAAGACTAAAGTTATTAAAATTTTTAGAACTAGGATCAAAGTAACATAATATAGAAACGTGAAAGGTTATTTTCTTTTAAAAAACTAATTTATTTAATTTTAAAATTAAAAGAACCTAATAAATTTTTTTATTCGAGAAAAATTCAAATTGTTCATGATTATAAGATATTAATATGTTGAGTTGACTAATATGAATAGATATGTGTCTGCACATCTGATTTTGGTGGGCGAGTTTCCTAACAGAGATTTTTTATACACAAGAATTCGAACTTGAGACCTTACTTAAGCGATATCAAACTACTTACCACTTAAATCAACCCCTGTTAGTGATTAATTATATTCTAATATAAGGATATCTCAAGCTTAATACATATTTTCAATTAATTTATTTTTAGGTTATATAATATATATAATGATAATTATACTTATTTTTCATTTCTTTTACTTTACTCTTTTTAATATTTATATACAAATGTTGGTGGAATCCTAATTCGGCTTGTATACTTTGATTTTAAGTGCAATTATATGTAATTTAGAGGTTCAAAAGAAATAGATAATTTAAGTATTGTGTAAAAATAATTTTATATAAATACATGTTAAATATCGTAAATTTTATTTTTTTTAATTTAAATATATATTAATTTTGAGATGAATTATTTTTATTTTATTTTTCATTTTTATAATATTTAAATATTTTAAATAATGATAGTTAATTAAATTTAAATACAATAATAAAATTTTATCAATATTGACACAATTGTATCAAATACAGGTTTGAAATACATTATAAATGGTAACGTTGATTAACTGCGAGTAGTAAAACGGTCTTATCAGGTTTAATCCAAGTTTAATTACCCGGTTCCTTAGTGAATCCCAAGAACCGTTTTCTTCATGGAATCCATCGTCTCCAACAAGAGCACTCAACCGATAGATCTTTCTCTTTTTGCCGTTTTGCATCATTTTTGAACTTCCATTTTTCCCTAAAGAAAAACCCATCAAAAGTCACTGATCGCTTTCACCGCCAGCGAACTCGCGAGTTGTTCTCGTTGAAGTTGGAGAAACTTTTGTGATTTAGGGATTGTTTGGTATACAGGGGAGACTTAAAAAGGAAGTTAAGTGTTTGTGTTGGAACTGATGGGGTTTTTAAGTACTATTTTGGGTTTATGTGGTTTTGGAGTTGGGATTTCAGCGGGTCTTGTTATCGGTTACTATCTCTTCATCTTCTTTCAGCCTAGCGATGTCAAGGTACTCTTTGATCTCTCTCTCTCTCTCTCAATATATATTGTGTTAAATTTAGTATAGAACGTATTTATGCTTTCCCCTCTTTATTAGATTCAGTTCTTAATTGTTTTTCAGCATCTTTCTTTGTTCTGTATCAAGTTGATTTGTTGTGAATGTTTGATGCCTATTATTGTTGCTGATTGACGGTGCTAGGAATTGTTTCTTTTAGTCACTTTGCATACCTTGAAAGGCTGTCGTAACTGGTGGAAGCTGTAGCAATCAAATGCAAGTGAAATAATATGGGATTAGTCACATATGCACTTTCATTGTTTGAAATATTACTTAGTTATGATTCTAGTAGCAGGGTCCCTAGAGTGTAGCTTAACAATAATAGACAAAGTTTCGGATGACTTGGACATTATTTTTCTCGAAGTATCCATTTCTGTCACCCAAGTTTGATCATGGCTGAATTTGGGTACGATGATATAATCCTCCTAAGAACTAAATACGTGAAATCTAGGGGAAAACTGAACATACTCGTGTTAGGCGCAACTGTGTTCGACACTTGCACCCAAGTTTGAGTAAAATTGCCTCACCTACTCATTCTTTTTTCATTTGTTCATGGTTAATGAGGAAAAAACAACATACACGGAGAGCTGAAGGAAAGAATTTATATCATATATGTGCTGCGTTTTGTCAATATTTTATACCTGCTAGCTTTATTTGCAATTTTTTTGGAGTTCATTTAGGCCCATGTTTGCTTTATCAGGATCCTGAAATCCGTCCATTGGTTGAGCAAGACTCGGAGACTTTACAAAGGATGCTTCCAGAGATACCGCTATGGGTAAAAAACCCAGATTATGATCGTGTACGTCAATGTTATTAGTCTCTGTCACATTCTTCCAGGCCCTTCTACGTATGCTTTACTGTCTTGTATCATGTTAACTGCATTTTCTTTATGTTATGGTGTATGTGAAGGTTGACTGGGTAAACAAGTTTTTGGAATATATGTGGCCTTATCTTGACAAGGTTTGACTCCTGGTCCAAACAAACTTTTATTTTAATGGCATCTTCTTACTTCTTTACATGTTTGTTCTCGGGTCTTTTCCCATATACTTTTTCTTACTCCTTGTAGGCCATTTGCATGACTGCCAAGAATATTGCCAAACCCATAATAGAGGAGCAAATTCCCAAGTACAAAATTGATGCTGTCGAATTTGAAAAGCTTTCATTAGGATCTTTGCCGCCAACTTTCCAAGGTTAGTCAATCAATTACTTCTCAATTTTAATTCCACCTCTTGCAAAGTTGCTCTGTTTGTCCTTTTATTTAGAAAGGTATTAGCAAGAGAAACTGGACTGTAATATGCATGAATAATCATTCGAAATGTCGCTTTCTAGGATCAATTGCTATGATGTTTGCTAAATTGTTGAATATCTCAGTTTTTCAGAGACAAAAAAAGTGGTCATTATTTTTTTTATAGAAAAAAAGTGGTCGTTATCTGTGCTAATCCAAATAATATGATCCGCGTACTGAGATAAGTTTTGTCTCAGTTAAAGTAAAAGGTATCCCCCCTCCCCAACAGAATACCCCAACTCATGCACACACACAAAAACTATAGTTTTTTTTTCCAGAATGTTTATAGGTTAGAGCAACATACTCTTAGAAAACCTTGTTGCTTAATTCTTGGACCAGTGAGCCTAGATTTTAAGGTCCAAAACTAAATTTTGCAGCTTTTACATAATTTCTTCTTTCCTTTTTTTTCCCCCACAGATTTTTCGCTGACCTTGTTGCTCTTCTTCCCCTTGATAGGTATGAAGGTGTATGTCACAGAAGAAAAGGAGTTAATTATGGAACCATTAATAAAGTGGGCTGCAAATCCTGATGTTACTCTTGCTGTAAAAGCATTTGGCCTAAAGGCAACTGTCCAGGTTGTTATTTTGTCCTATCATCTAGGAGAATATTTTTTTGACAGTTACTACTTGTGTTAAGAGAGGATAGAGTAGGTTGTTTGTTAATTGTGTGTTGCTTAGATGATTTCAGGTTGTGGATTTGCAAGTGTTCGCTCTACCACGTATTACCTTAAAGCCTTTGGTTCCAAGCTTTCCTTGTTTTGCAAATATCTTCGTGTCCTTGATGGAGAAGGTTTGAGATCATGGTTGGAATTAAATTCTATTTCTATTGTTTAGATCTTTGATGCATCTGATATTTTCATTTGACTGAGTATTTTTAACTGCAAATTCTGTGCCCATGTCAGATTTGCCTGTTATTAAACGTAATTAGTCTGTACAAGGAAATTAATGTGACAGTATTTTTAACTTTTTGATGAATCATGATTAGTTCCCTTTTCTCTTAATCATTTGTCTTCTAACCTGCAGCCATATATTGACTTTGGATTGAAGCTTATCGGGGCTGATCTCATGTCCATACCTGGTCTTTACAGGTTTGTCCAGGTAAAATGCCTTATGATGTTCCCTCTAAATCTCATTTCCTAGTTTCTTACTCGAGTACTTGATATACATGGCTTTATTATATGTTTGAAAGTGTGTTTCTTTTACCAAAAGTTCAATCTGTTTAAGGCATATTTTTTCTTTTCCCTTTAGATGCACAATTTTTAGCATAGAAGTTGGACCTTTCGTTAGTGATGAATACATTTGTGCTAACTTTTTCAAGGATGACATTATATTTTGTAGAGATAGGGAAAACATCTTTCCAAGGCCTCAGCTGTCGACTGTTGTTATCTATATGATCTTATAGTTTATTGCTTTGGATTTTACAAAAGGGATGCATGTGATGCAGGAACTCATCAAAGATCAGGTTGCAAACATGTATCTTTGGCCTAAAACCCTGCAAGTACCAGTTCTGGATCCATCAAAGTATGTTTCAAGGATGCTCTCCTATTCTATTATGACTTATTCGGTCATTTGTTTCTTTCACTCCATTGGTCTTGGCTTATAAATTTGAACTTGCAGAGCTTTTAAGAGGCCTGTAGGAATTCTCCATGTGAAAGTTATAAGGGCAATGAAGCTAAAGAAAAAAGATATTTTGGGTGCATCAGACCCTTATGTTAAAATAAAGCTAACTGAGGATAAGCTTACATCTAAGAAAACTGCTGTGAAGCATAAGAACCTGAACCCTGAATGGAATGAGGAACATAATATGATTGTCAAAGATCCCCAGACCCAGGCCTTGGAGCTTCATGTTTATGACTGGGAGCGGGTAAGATTTACAATTTTTTTTCTTTTTAGTTTATTTGAAGTTCTATCATTTGTTTCTATTGTTACCTTAACTATTTATTCTTGTTCTCAGGTTGGGAAGCATGACAAGATGGGAATGAATGTGGTTCCTTTGAAAGAACTTACTCCTGATGAGCCCAAAGTTTTGACCCTTGAACTTCTTAAAAATATGGACTTAAATGATGCTGAAAACAAGAAGTCGCATGGGCAGCTTGAGGTGGAGCTAACATATAAACCCTTCAAAGAAGATGAAATACCAAAATCTTTTGATGAGTCAAAATCACTGCAGAGGGCTCCTGATACTACACCTGATGGTGGAGGAGTGCTTGTAGTCGTTATCCACGAGGCGCAAGATGTTGAAGGAAAGCACCACACGAATCCATATGTGACAGTTCTTTTTAGAGGCGAGAAGAAAAAGACTAAGGTATATTATTGACAGTAGCATTTAAAATTACCTTCTTTTTAGAAATTAGTATCTCCCTTTTGCTTGCTAAATTTATTTGCAAAGTTCAAGAGTTATTTTAAAAGGAACTTCATAGTTCATACCTATAAAACATTATGCGACATTGTCTTTACCTTTACCCTAATTTTAATATCCATTATTTGTTCCATATTCATCTGTTATTTTAAGTTCATGCAAGGGTGCTCACTGGTTCCTTCATAATTACATCCATTCTTGTAGAATTATGTTTATTTGAAAAAGAATCAAAGATGGTCGGTAAGCTTTTAAAGATCGATTCAACTGGATGAAAATAGATGACGATTGTAGGAGGATCTTTTTAGATATTCATGGTCTTCTAAGATAGAATAATCGCAATACTGAGACCATATAATAAAATGTTCTGAGATTTTTGTCAGTTTGTATTTCCTATAAATGACATGTTTTTCAAATTTTATTGGTACAGCATGTAAAGAAAAACAGAGATCCAAGATGGGAAGAGGAATTCACATTTATGCTGGATGAGCCTCCCGTTAACGATAAATTGCACGTGGAAGTTCTCAGCAGTTCGTCAGGGATTGGCCTGCTGCATCCGAAGGTGAGATTTTGCATCATTGCGGGCATGCTTCATAGCAATCAATTTATTATGTTTCAAAATTTCAGTTTAGCATTCTATAGGCATGATTATTGTTGTCCGGGTGTTGATATTTCATCTTTGTTTTCCTTTTATTGAGATTTGGAAGATCATATGTCGGATGTGTGATACGTGAATGAGCTGTACTGAGATTTATGTGGTTCGAACACCGAATACATATAAATAAAATTATAGTTGATATTTTACACAGAGACATGCTCATGTATACATGTATTTGTTTCTACTGTTTTTGACATTTGCAGGTTTTGTTTTCCCCGGTTTCGCAATTACGTGACTGACGGGATTAATTTTTTGTATTGCAACAGGAAACACTAGGTTATGTCGATATAAATCTTTCCGACGTTGTTAACAACAAAAGAATCAATGAGAGGTACCATCTGATAGACTCGAAGAACGGACGGATCCAGATCGAGTTGCAATGGAGAACTAAATGATTCCATTTCTTGAATTCAGGATTACACCATACATACATACAGACAGACACAGAGAAAACCCATATCTTAAAAATCTTAGATTTGTATTTGAGATTAGGCTTCATTGTTACTTGTTTGTTTTCTGTACATCAAATGAATGTAACAGTGATAATACTACTCACAATAGCACCAAAAATGGAAAGACTGGACCGTAATTTGTTTGTGCTTTTGCTTTTCCCTTCTCATTTGAGCTTTGTTTTGCCTTTATTTGACTACCTCTATCTAATGGTCATGGGTCAGATTGGGATTTTGACCCACTTATAAAACTAAATAAAAATTTATTGAATTTGAATTAAATATTCATCCTTAATTTCAACCGTCAACATAAAAAAAATTATATGAATAATTATACGTCATTTATTTTTATTATTCATATATCAAATTGAATAATAAAATATCTAAAAATATAATATTTGTTATTATTTTTATATTTATGATATAATAAATTAATCTCATTAAATTATAAATAATTATTATATCAAATATTAAAGTAATATAAAATAAAGTTTTAAATCTGCAATTTATATATAGTATAATGACTAATAACATAATATGACCTAAGTGCATTTCCGGGGCTTTTGGGCAATCAACAGTTATCGTTCTCTTATATAATAGAAGCCCCTAACCAGCTAAACCCTCATTCCTTATAAAACCCCGAACTCGCCGCCGCCTACATTTGACAACGGCCACCATGCCTCGCCGAAGCTCCGGTTAGTTTCTCCTCTCCATTCTTTCAGATCTATGCTTAATTTGAACATTTTCTTTGCGTCTTTATCTCTAATTTATTTGTATTTATGTGCTAGCTTCCTGTTCCACCTGTGTTCTAGGGTTTTCTGCATTCCTTGATTTTTGCTTATTGGGTTATTTGGTATTGTTTTCATTTTGATACGTTGCCAAATTATCTAGTTTTTTTTCTTTAAAACTGAGCTTGCTATAGAGTAGTTTCTTATCCTTCTGTGATTATTTCATGTTTGAGCTTGTTATTTGAACATTTCATTGTTATACAAATGAAGTACCTTGGATTTGGAGGTGATAAATGATTGTTGATTAATATGTTAATGTTGTATCTGTTATTTGTGGAATTTCTGTATTCCCCCCTTGTCTTATGTTCCCATTTTGTTCATGCTGTTTTGCAGGAAGGTCTGCTTCTCGCCCAGCCCCTCGTCCTGCTCCGGCACGCAGCCCACCACCTCAACCAGGTAACTATTCTTATTATATTTAGTGTATGATTTACATTGTACACTCGATAAGTGGTTCTCCGATTGAGTTTCATGTTTAATTCTGTTTAATAATCTTCCGTTGCAGCTCAACATGCACCTCCTCCAGCCCCTGGTCAAAGTGGAGGTGGGGGATCCCTTCTTGGAGGCATAGGCTCAACCATAGCTCAGGGTATGTGAATAGATCTCCTTCTGAGATGCTGGGCTATTTGCTCTTACGCGTTTAATGATTCATCGTTCTCATTTTAGTTGATTATTTTCTTAATCTTTTCCAGGCATGGCTTTTGGCACTGGAAGTGCTGTGGCCCACAGGGCTGTCGATGCTGTTATGGGTCCTCGTACTATTCAACATGAAACTGTGGTTTCTGAGGCTGCCACCGCCCCTGCACCAGTGGCCACTGCCAATAGTTTTACTGGGTCTGATGCATGCGGCACACACTCTAAGGCTTTCCAAGACGTATGTGAAACTTCACCCTCAATTACTCAGTTACTTGATAATTCTATTGTTCATAAGACTAGAAGTTTTTGCATGCGCTGGCTCACCAGAACTTTGAATCGAAATCAGGGTTTTGATTCCGAGTTTTAACAGCTTCGGAACGTCTGGCAACACAAAATGTACTGATATACGACCGTTTGTGTTTCTTGTAGTGCCTGAACAGCTCTGGAAACGAAATCAGCAAGTGCCAATTCTACATGGATATGCTGTCCGAGTGCAGGAGGAACTCAGGATCAATGTTGGGTGCCTAAATTTATGCCCACATTTATTGCTCATTCAATGGGATGTTAGATCTGGACTTCACTTTTGTTCATCTATGTTTCCCTTTTGTTGATGATAAAGCTGAACAACTCCCCTCAATGATTCAATAATATCTATGAATACTCTTAAGTGAATACTTATTTTTACAGCTTTAACCTTGATTTTACTATTGAAAGCATCTCAAGTATGATATTATTTTACAGGTTCAACCATGAGATTATTATATAGACTTGGGTTACTAGTCTATAGTTTATTTTTAGAGATAAAATTAATAACTCATCTTACTTTATTAAATGGAATAAATATAGTATTCACATATTATTTTGAAAGTAAATAGTAAAACCTGCAAATTTTATTAACTTAGAGAACAAACCAAAATCAAAGTTTGAAACTAAGCACAGCTCTTTGTTTTCTAAGCGTATATCCGTGCCAAATCTCAGACTCCCTAAACTTGTTAAAACTTCTCAAAAAAGGGTTCCTATTTACAATTCATCTCTCTGAAACTGAATTTTTCAAAGTATAAATCATAACCTACCCTTGAGGAAACTGGTGCACAGTTTCTTCCATGCTTCCTTATCAGGCTCCACTTTCACCAGCCTCGCCTTCAGTACTTCAGCATACGATTCCTGCATTATATATACAGATTGTCAATACTTTCATTCAAATCACTAAAACCATCAAGGAGCTTGGAATTGATCGGATGGCGGATGTACATACTTCGATAAAACTACGCTGCAATAGACGGTCAATCAGGTGGAGAAGAATGTCTTTGGTGTACTCGGGGTGGCCTTGGATGCCTAGCATATGATCACCGTACCTAAACATCTCGACACCTGTCTTCTCGGACCATGCTATCACCTCCGCCTTCGGTGGAAGTTCTCTAACCTATAAGCATATTAACAACAAAGATGTTTCAAACACATGTAGACATGTTTCAAACATAACATGAAACAAAGATGTTTCAGACCTCGTCACGGTGGCACTCGATCACCGAAAGAGTGGTCGGAATTTTCAGAGATGAGAAGAGCTTCGATGAAGACGATGACAAATGAATAGATGTCAACCCAATGTCCCACCCTGAGATGGCTCGGCCTGTTTTTCCTCCCAATGCTCGACTAAGAATCTGAATCAAATAGCAAAAACTAAAGTTAACAACCACAAGCATACACACATTTTCGTTGATCTTATCAATGAATTAAACAAGGAACAAAACTGAAAAAAAAGGATAACAATTCCATGAACAAGACAGAAAAAAGAACACAAGGAAGTGGCAAACACGTTTTTTGCACGAGTTGAAACTTATTCTGCCGACATTGTAATCTGCTATGTGCATATTTTTGTAAGGCAAATATTAAATGCAGAAGCCCCACACCTTTAAATCAGCCATTGTCATACATCATTAAAGAATTAAACAAGGAAGTCTGATATTAAAATGGTGGAAACTAGTGGCTGAGAATGCCCAACCAGCATCTGAGTAGTCAGTATTATCAAGAGTATTTTCAATTATATATTCCTTTAGGAAATGCTGAACTTACAAAACTATAGAATCCAGAGTTCTTCGGGATTACGAAAAGATTTGATTGATTCCACATTTATACGATAAAAACAGTAAATTATATACCTAACCCAAAGGAAAAACAAACAATGTATTTTTTTTAATAAATTTGAGTTGAATATAAGATAATATATGTTTAAAGTGTTTCAATCATTTGACAATGAAGATTCATATGCCTCCATACATTGTGTTCGAACTTAAAATCTCAAAGAATAAAAATAAATCTCTTTACTACTGAAATCACTTAGTTCGTGTTGAAACAAGCAATGTCTCATGTGCAACAAATGGCTCATATTTAAGTGCAGGCTATTAAATTACCTTCCCTCCACCTAAGCTTTGGTCCCCTTGTGGAAATAAAAGCTAACCTCTACTCATCTTGCAGAGGATCTTTCCAATAAAACAAAAAATAGAATTCACATGATGCACAGTATAAAATTCATTAATTATATAAAACCTACAATAAAATTTGTATGTCAGTATTATTTTTAAAAAAATTCATAAAAGAATAAAGAGTTTATTTTAATCAAGACCAGCCATTTAGATTTATTGATTATAATTTATACAAAATTAATGAATTTTATACTGTGTAAGTATATTCTACTTATAAAATTTCATGAATGCAGCAGAATATTGATCTAATTATATAAATATAATATAACAAAATACATGCATATAGTGTTCACAAAGCAACTAACATTACATGCAAGTTAAATTTAATTTTATATATTTAATTTCTGTTTAAAATATTAAAAGAAATTATCCAAATTTCTATATTTTATATATTATATTTTATTATATTCTAAATTTTGTATTATGTTTGAATTTGGATTTAAAATCAAAGACACTTCTACTAATATCAAGTTAATAAAAATCTCTAATTTAGAAAACTACTAAATCTATCGCATAATAATAAAAATATCACAAATTTAAGTTAAAACTATTAAATCTATCAAGAATTTAAGCTAATAATAAAAATATTAAGTCCATCGCAAATTAGCTGACTGATTTTCATCCATACAATCTGAAACTGTCGATTTCGATTCATTTACAGCTAAGATTTCCCCGAGAAGATCACCAAAGAAAATCACGAATCCGAAGGGAGGAAAAAAAATACCTGATGACCAAAGCAAATCCCGAGAACTTTTTTATTCAACGAATCCAATTTGTTCAAAAGAGCAATCAACTTGCAGATCCAAACATCGTTCCCGTGCGCATCATTGCAACTCCCGGTTATAACGAATCCATCAAAATCAGCGATCCCATCATCATCGGGGAACTCTCCATTGGCCACCTTGAAAACCTCCCAAGTCTCGCCTTCCTCCGCCAGCATTTCGACGAAAACGCCGTAATAACCACCGTACCTCTTTTTGACGTAATCGGAATCCTCCGCGCATAGAAGAACAGCAAATCTCTTCCCACCACCCATGATAATTTCAAAAACAAAACAAAAATCAAAATCAAATCAAAATCAAGCTCCCTCTCCTTCTCTTGATAAATATATATATTGAAGGCTTAAAGGTTTAGCCTATATAGAGAGAGGAAGAGATCAAAATTTTCTCTCTTATAATCTTCAGAGTGGAGGTGTTAAAGACTGAGATTCACTGTTCTTCTTCGTGTTCTTTTATAGGATTGTTGAGACTTTGAGCGTTTTGGAACTTTAATATAGCAAGGTTTAGGTCACGTTAATTACAAATATGACCTCGCTGGATTGTTCACTTCCACGAGTATTTTACATTATAGATTATTGAATTTAATTTTAGTACTATATAAATTATAAAATATAAAATCCTGTTATTAAAAAATTAAATCATTTTTTATTAACCTAAAAGTGAGTACAAAATAATATATGTTCTAAATACTCTCAATTATTTGATAATAAACGTTCAATCACCTATTAATCATTGAGGTAAGTTGATTCGTGTATTAAATCATATATTCTAATATCATTAAATAATTACCAAAAAAAATGAATTGACATTTCTCTTTAACATATATTTTACGTATCATCTTCAAATATTTTTAAATTTAAGTGAATTGATGATGATTCATTATCAAAATTAAATTTAAGTGAATTTAGTTTTTTAAATTAGCTGACCTTATTCCCATATGTAATGGGGTAAGGGAAGGTAGAATAGTAGGCTGCTTCCAACGTCAGGTTGAGAGTAGCTTCCGTGGGAGACCTCCGGCAGTCAAAATTATGGATTACCCACCGTAGGACTCGATCCACAACCACAAGTTTAAGAGCCTTGCCCTTCCAGCTCAGTTGGTAGAACGCGAGGCTCTTAACCTTGTGGTTGTGGGATCAAGTCCCATGGTGGGTAATTTCATAATTGCCGGAGGTCTTTCACGAAAGTTGCTCTCAACCTAGCGTTGGTAGTAGCCTACTACCCTACCTTCCCTTACCCCATTACATATGAGAATATGGTCATCTTAGTTTTTTAAAATTTTACGTTGATGTATTATCTTTAATTCGTTAATGGTAAATAGAGTAAATATATTAAACATCAAGTAAAAACACGTTTTAGATTAGGGTTACTAAAACCTTTTTATTAACTTAATTAATACTTTATTAATTTTAAAATAAATGTTTAATAATAAGAAAAGGTTCAAATAATTCATTACTCATTTGAGGCACAAGAGTTATTATTTTTCGAGAGAAACCAGAGAGAAATGAGTGAGGAAAATTATTCTGTTTTGTGGGGAAAATTGGATTTAGGGTTTGAAATTATTTTATTTAACTAAAATTGGGTCAGATTGACCTATGGTTCCATGAAATCACACTGTAGTGTTGTTACACGGTTTGCTTTGATAGGTTAGAGTTTTCCTTCGTAAAATTGAGTGATTCAACAGATTGAATGGTGATGGAAAGAAAGAGGAGATGGTGATCAGGATTGTAAATGAGATAGAGATGGGTCATGACTTACTATAGACTGATTCGGTCAAAGTTTGGTCAACTCTCTAATTGAATTGACTCGACTCGAATTCTTAACGAACCGAAGCGAGCTACTTGATATCCGACTCGAAAACCTCATGAGAAACTTGAATAAATAATATATTAAAATTTTAGATTTTTAAATTAAACTATTGTTAATATTAACATTCGTATGTTGTTATTTTTTAAAGTATAATATAAGACTTTCATATACTTAAGGTTTAGGTTCGAGTTTGAGCATTAATTGAGGTAAATTTAATAATATTCAGAGTTTGACTTGGCTTGTTTACAGTCGTATTGATGATTAAAAAATTCACATTAATCAACAATCATTTGTCAGGTAGCGATGGAGGAGATCTCGTGGTTGAAATAGAGAAGGTAAGGGGAAAATGAAAGAAATAAAGGAAAACTAAAAGGAAATGAAAGAAGAGAATGAAGAGAGATGATAAGACGAAGAAGATGAGGGAAGGTCGATGAGATGTCTCTAGTCATGAATGAGTCTATCATCGTCGACATACATCTTGTAGACATTATTATTTGAATTTGAAATTTCTAAAATGGACAATATTTAATTTATGATTGAGATTGATTGAAGAGTTTATTAGTAATTGATAATCAGGGTTCGTCATATGGAAGTCAATGGGAATTACAATATCAATATCTAATTCAATCATGTCCATCGCTCTTGACAATTAAATTAATTAAATAATTAAGTCGTAGATTAAATTATTTGGGGCATCGATTATGTGTTGAGTAATGATCTTTCATAGAATCCAAGAGCACTGCTTAATTTTCGTTTTTTTTAATTTTCAGTCCATTATTTTTCTTTGTACCGGTTGAATATTATAACATATCATATGAAAATAAAATCTTTAAAAAAATATTTAAATTTAACAGTCAAAATTGATTAAAAGATTTGTATACCCATTTCCCCCCCAAAAGTATAACATATTTTATAAACCAAAACCATTTTAATGAGTAATAATCTTTTAATCTAATGATAATATATTTTTGTGTTTTGTGACATAGGAAACGGTTCAATCACTAATCAACCCTTTCTATTTTCTCCCATTTTTTTTATAAATAAAATGCCATTTTTATGAATAATAATTTGTAAACCCCTTTAATTTAAAAACTCGTATACCCATTTTACATTTTAAAATATACCAATAGTCACTTGCAATCGTTGAATATAGATTATGATTGAGTTACGGTAAAGACAATTTATCAATGATTCATTATTATTATATGTATTTTTATTTTTTTTAATTTTTTTTTGAAAGGGAGCTTTGTATGTATTAGTAAGGGCTATATACAAAAACAACCGTACGGGTTTCATTAAAAAATCTCCCTAAACATAAGTAGAAGATCGAAAAGTTTCTCTCCCACAGGAGCAAGATCAACGATGTTTATTTTTTTACCGTTGATAATAATGTTTATATATCGTTTATCTGAATTGTTTGATTGAAATTTTAGCGTTTTTCTTATATGTTCATGTTATTTTCTTCAATGGCTAATTTGTACACATCGATAATATACAAAAATATTCGACTTAAAAATTAATTTTTCATTTCAATTATTTGTATTATTTGGTATTGATTTCTATTAAGTGACAAATAAAGGGGGAAACACCCCACAATGCAATTTGGTAAACCTTCAAATCCCATTCACATGGCTTGGCTGGCTTCATCCTATCTACTTGCATTCTTTCTATCTAAACAAACAAATTAAAATATTGATATTTTTCTTATCTTAAATTGGAAAGAGTTCTTTTCCATTTTCTCTCCCAAGCTATTGTATTTTTTTATATTTTTATAAAATAATAAATTAAACAATGATAATACAACGTAATAATTTATAGTGATAACATAAAAAATAATTCATGAATTAACTCAGTTGGCTAGCACAGCTTAGAGGTTAACAAAGAACCAGCCCTGCGAAGGCAATGTTGGTTCAGGTTCGGCGGTTAAGGAACATCGGAAACATGGTTCAAGAAGTAATACTCAGGGAAGCCAAAAGAAGCAAAACCTCCCAAATGCCAAGTATCTGATGCTTCTTCAGTGGCGCCTATGAACTCTGACCCTCCCGGAAATAATGCATCCACATGCTACAGGGCAGTGAATCCTGAACCCGAGACAGGCGAATGTCATCTGCCGAAAGAGGAATTGGGGAAGTCGTTACCAACAACTAATATGACGGGAAATCCAGTAAAATCAAGTGAAAATGTACGAGGTCAGCAACAGGTTGGAAAGGAAGATGGTGAGACTAAAATTCCTCAGTTCCGGTGCACCATATGCAACATAACCTGCACTCGATCAGAGGACTTGAACTGTCATCTCTTGGGAAGGAAGCACTTGGCCCGGATTCAGAAGCTAAATAATCTTCAAAAAAGGTAACTTACTTGAGTCGAGCTTCAAATCTCCACAGCCGTGAAACTTGAGAAACAGGTCATCTCGATTAAAGTTCTTTTTCTACTTTAGCGGTTTCTTAGTTTTCAACGAGTGATGTAGACATTTATCATCCAGAAGTAGTTTTTATAATAGTTTAAAATGAAAATGCTTTATCCCCAACCACTATAAACGTGGTGAGACCAAAAATGTGTCCGCAACCATAATTTAAATGCTTCGGCCTTACATAAACGAAGAGAAGCTCAGCAAACTATTGTTTTTTCTGAAGGTACTAGTTTTACTTCAACATTAAGAAACATTATTTCCGCCCTAAAACGATTTTCAGCATTTGTCCCCATTTATCTGGACATTAGTTCATAGCAGACAGGGAACTCCTGAAAGAACAATCCGACATCATGATTACAACTTCTGCGACGTTGGCATCGCTAGGGAAACTCCGCTAGGTAAATCCTTCCATTGTTGAGTCACTGTTTTAATCTGCGTGAAAAAGTTAACGCCAGCCTTCCCTGCAATTAAAGATGAGTTTCCAAGTCATAAAGTCAGGTAAAAATGGAGAGGGTATCAGCGGATGTTGAGTTGAACCGTGTTAGTGATCATGTATATAATACCGTAAAAGTTAAGGTCACCCGCGAAAGATGCCTTGCTGCCAGTAAATGAGAAAAACGGCAAGGGAACTGGTATGGGAACATTGATGCCAACCTGAATATAATCAAAGCAACTTAATGATATGAACTTTTACAGCAACAAAGCAATGATCTTCAATCCTATCATGTTTCGAAACAAGTACTTCTATAGGTTATCTACTTGTAGCTCTGAACAATTTTAGATATATCCTACTATATTTCACCTATAGTTTTACCTGCCCAGCCTCGATCTCTGTCTGGAATTTCCTTGCTACAGCACCGGAAGTAGTGAATATAGAAGCACCATTACCATATCTGAAACAGAGCACAACTCACAAGTAAAACAAATATGAACATGTAACTTAAAGAAGATCAAAAGAGGGAGTCTGATTCAGGATGTACTTGTTTCGATTAACAATGCTTATCGCGTCGTCCAAGCTGTCAGCCTGGACATGGGGAGTGAAAGAAGAAATAGTTGGCAATAGTTAAAAAAGGAAAAAGTATGATTAGTGAAGAAATAGGAAGGGAAGTAACTCACCTTCATGCAAATAAGAACTGGGCCAAAGATTTCCTCCTGCACAGGCCGAAATAGAGTGGTCAGGTATCTTCTATGAATGTCGGTCATTTTACCCACCCACTCCTGGTATTTTTATGGATCACAAACTAAACAATGCATTACAAGTCAAAAACAGAAATGAATACCTTATAACACTCCATGTCAGCTGTGACATCAGATAAAATTGTAGGACCAATAAAATTGCCTTTCTCATATCCCGGAACCTATTTTGTCACTCATAAATAGTTAGTAACATGTTTTCGTTGAAAAGTGTGAAAATCTAGTTAGCAACAGGGAAACAAAGTACGAACGATCTCTGGATCATTTGAAAAACTTTGGTAAACCAGAAAATCATTTGGATTGTTGTAATAATTCAAACTTTTTGGATTATTTCAATTCTATAAATTATTTTCAATCCCTACTGCGAACAGGCCCAAGACAAATCAATTTTTAAGTGGTTCAAAATATCCAACGATTTTATGCGCTTTTGAAGGATTATTCAATCTTGAAGATAGAATATGCTACCATCTATATGATGCCAAAAGTGAAAAGTTGTTGAGAAAATGAATATGGTAGAAACATTAAATACCACAATATTTCTCCCATCAAGCAGTAGTTTGGCTCCACTATCAACTCCTGATTGAACTAATCTGCATATTCGTTCTTTAGCCTGCAAATGTGAAAGAATTCCAACGAAAAAAAATTCAAGGATCCAAACAAATAGAAGAATGAATTGAAGGCATTAAAAAGGGCATCATAATTGGTTTGATTAGCTCCCATCCCCCTAGATAAATTCAAGTTGGCTCAGGCTCCAACTTTTTGCTGGAATTCCCAGCTTCTAGTCAGTGTTTTTGATTCTTCTAATAATATATTATACCGGTCGCCTTCAATAACCTGATCATGATGAGTGGTCTGAGCTCATCCTTGCATAGTCTGTACTTGAAAGTTCTTAGTGTGTCATTTCTTGGAGATATCTGGATTACTCTCTCTCTCTCTTTTGGCAATAAAAAAGGTGTATGGATGAAAGATAAGATAAAAGGGAAGAAAGATCTGTGCTACGAAAATAGGCAACCCTGTGACGGACCTGACACCTTGATACAGGTAGGCCTAGGATAAATAATAGATTTTATATTGTCCTCCCAGAGAAATAGGGCATTTCAATTTGTCAGAAAAAAAGTTTAGGAATGATATCTAGTATTGTGCTAGCGGTAGTACAGAAAAGGTGGGAAATATCTGAAACACACATTACCTCTTTGCTAATAACTGGACCGAGGTCTGCATCAGGTTCGATTCCAGCATTCACTTTAAGACCTTTGGCATGTTCTACCAGGTCATTCACCCTGGAAAAGGTCAGGATCCCCCTTAATCATAGCTTCAAAAAGTTACCAGCAAGATGGGAGGAAAAAAACAATACCAAGTTTCTGAGTCACCAACAAAGACTACTGTGCTAAGTGCCATGCACCTTTGCCCGGCAGCACCAAAACCAGCAGCAAGTAGAGCATTTAGTGTAGCTTCCTTGTTTGAATCCGGCATGACAATTCCATGATTTTTGGCCCCCATGTTGGACTGAGAAGAATAATTATTAAGATTTAAGTTTAGTTCAACTTTAGATAGTCATAGAATTTGTTAAGCATCCAAACTGTTATCAATCGGATAGTTGAATGCCAACCTTGTATAAGGAAATTGCAAATTGTAAACTTAACTGATGCCAGATATGGTAGCTTAACAGAAGTAATCCTGTCACTAGGAGATATATTGTGTAGTGCTTACCAATGCAAGTTAAATGCACTTTACCTGTACACGTTTTCCTTTAGCAGAAGCTCTTCCGTATATGTGCATGCCAGCCTTCCGAAAATAAAAAAAACATCAAGAATAATATAACCAACATAATGAACTGCTTTGTGAAACATCAATGACCTTTCACGAATTGCAATAAGAAGTCAAGGACAGAAACTAGACATCATAACAGTCATATCACAACAGAAATAGGCATGATAACTTTCCTACCAAGTACAAAAAAAATACAATTTATGCAAAGGCAGATGGGGCCGAAGAAAATTAACATAATAAATAGTTGATATCTTGAAAAAACCTAGGGAATCATCAGAAAGGGAAAAGTCAAAATTTAGCCATCCAAAGTGCAGAACATGTGAAGAGCAGATCCTAGGAGAACCAAACAGTAACACCTACTTCATTGAAGACATAAAATGTTTAACAAAAGAAGCCAAGAAATGGAAATCGGTAAAATAAAACATCAGTTTTTCATATTGGTTACTGCATTCACCAAAGACAATGATCAATTAGATCCCAAGGAAATATACCCATCTGAGTGCTTTGGATACAAAAGGCATACTTACAGTATTGGAACCAACAAATGATATGGCTCTGATATTGTCATCGTCACAAATAGCATTAACAATGTCCTGCCACAACAAAATATATTGGAATATGTAAGGTAAAATTAACTCAATGGAACATTAAACATTTATACCATCCATACAGCCATCAAGAAATATATATATATATATATATATATATATATATATATATATATTATGTGTGTGATTGTGTGTATTTATAGATATTGACTGCAGAGGGTAATGCACACTGTGAATTAACAGAAAAATTATTCCTTTGATATTCATAGCGGCGTTTAACGGATTGTAGCTTGCAAACCCATGCATTTATCAGGAAAGAAAAAGGATAAACAGAACTGTTGGATATCATAAAATCAAGTTACTGAAGAACATACATTGGTGCCATGAACTATATTTAAGACACCACGGGGCAGACCAGCTTCCATTGCCAACTCAGCCAGCATTATGGATGCCCCTGGAAAGCATAAAAATAACATTTTAATCAAAGAATTAAAGAGAAAAGTGAAGTCATGTAAGAACAAAAAAAATAAACGAAGTTGTCCTCTAAGAATTAACACATCACAACAAAATGAGTAAAAGCAAAGTCCCGGATTATACTCCATAACAGTTATTGTAGCACTCACCAGGATCTTTTTCTGATGGCTTTAAAATAAAGGTATTACCACATGTAACTGCGACAGGGAACATCTGCAGTAAAATAATAACACCTATGACAGTTTTTCTCTTTTAGGGAGTTGATAAAGCAGGTAAGAAACTGAACAAACTCGGAAGAAGCATCATCATTAAGAACCAAACCACATGTTATGAGTTCCTATGTTTATGAAGAAATACGATTCCACTAAAATGTGAGAAATAAAAATCCAATAAGGTTCATAAGCCTGAAATTAAATATGGGGACAAACAAGTACCACTAGAAATAGATACAACTTAATCAAGTAAAATTATCTCAACTATCAACCTAGCTTTGGGACCTGTGTGCTAGCCAACTGTGTTACCTAGCTATGAGATCATGTGATTGTTTGCAGTGTGTGTCTAATTGTTAACTCTTCTGAGCTGTGTTTTGTTATGTTCTCTACAAGTTCAATTATTTTTTGCAATGCCCTGCTGCTTGAACTTGTGTGCCTGTTGTAATTTCCTTCTAAGGAAATCCATTAGTCAGAATATTAAAAAAAAAAAAACCCTTAACCAGCGACCTTACCTTACTAGATTTAGCAGTAGATAGTCTACAATGGCTATGCCATGTTGAAACTACTAGGTGTAAAATCAAGACTTACCCATAAGGGAATCATTGCAGGAAAGTTGAAGGGGCAAATCCCAGCACAAACACCAAGTGGCTCTCTAAGACTATACGTATCAATTCCATTAGCTACATTGGGCACATACTCCCCCATTTGCAGGGTTGCCATTCCACAACTGTGTTCCACCACCTCTATATGAAAAAGTCCACAATATTTAAAAAGAAGGAAACAAAATATTAATCTTTACCACTGTTATGGTTGAAAATTTTCGCAATCAACTCAATCAATACATTGAAGAATACAGATACCAACCAAGCCCCCGAAAGACATCCCCATGAGCATCCTTCAATGTCTTGCCCTGTTCAGTTGTAATATTCTTGGCAAGTTTATCCTGAAAAGAAAATACAGCTTGAGCAGGTTAATTAGCTAAAATGCATATATATAACAATTTTCTTACTAGACAAAGAAAAACCTGAACTGAGCTCATGCGTACCATGTCCCTACGAATAAGCTCTTGTAGTTTGAGCATAATACGCTGACGAGTTGTAATTGGGGTATTTCGCCATGAAAGGAAAGCTTGCTTTGCAGCAGCCACTGCAGCTTTAAACTCTTCATTTGTAGTTAAAGGAACTTGACAAACAACTTCTTGTGTCGCCTATTTAGTTTTCCAAATAACATAAATTACCAACTAATCCAATAAACTCCACGAGCTAAATCTTCTGATACACGCTCGCGCGCGCACACACACACACACAAATTAGATACTCACAGGGTTTAAAACATCAATGGTTGATGTTGATTTTGAATCAACAAAAGCACCTCCTATAAGATTAGGAACCCTCTGCATAAAATCCAGTCCGATCAATACATAAAAACATTGAACAAATACCATTCAAAAAGTCTCCTACTGATTGCACTAGAGAAATGAATCTCCATCTAATTTTAAAAAAGAACAAAAATATACATATGATTTGCAAACAGATAATGAAACAAAGGCGCTATACCGGAGGAGTACGGCGATTAAAAGAAGATTCAGTCGCAGTAGAGAAACGAGAGTTCACAGAAGCAAAAGCCAGATGCCTTGAAGCCGTTAAATTCCTCACTGCAACAAAAAGGATACAGCGAAATAATCAAAATTAAACAAACAAATCAATCAAAACGCTTTTTTCGATTGATTTTGTTTTATCAGTTTCTGATTACCTCTTTGAAGTGAAAATCGCTTCATCATTTTCGTTTGTGAATGAACTAACCGGATCCTAAGATCAATAATAGAGTGAAACTTACAGTTTCGTAATACAGTGAACATGCTTGTTTCAGTATATATAATACACGAACCGAAACGGATATTCTTTTATGGAAAATATTATTGATTTGTGCATTCTGACCTTTTATGTAAAAAAAATTAAATAATTTTATATATTATTAATAAAAATAATTTTAAATAAGGGTAAATTACACCTAAAATCACTTAATTATAGATTTGGTAATAGATATGTTATTTTAAAAAAATTACAAACAAATCACTTAATTAAAATATTGTTATAAACAGATACCGTTAAATTAAAATTAATTTTTAAAGTGGTCTGATTTAATAATATTTTTAGTCTAAAGATTTATATAATTCTATCAATTTTATCTTAATCTAAAACAATTCAATAAATTTAGATCTTTATATTTAAAAAATTTATTAAAACTTCTTTTTTTATGCTATGAAACCAAGAGAATCTATTGAATTAAAATAATAGTTGAATAGTTGTATTTTGTCATAGAGTAATAATAAGTTTAATATGTTATTATAACATGAAAGTAATATAATATTTTTATATTAATGAAAAATAATTTTAGAGAATACCAAAAACTAAAATGATTTTTTTTAAATATTGAAGGTCAAATCTATTGAATTGTATGAAATTAATATCAAATTGTTAAATCATATTAGTTTAAAGATTAAAATTAATAATATTTAAATTGAATGACTTGTTTATAATTTTATAAAAATAACATATTTATTATAAAAATATAATTAAGTTACCTTGACCATAATTTACCCGATAATTAATTATTATATGAGGAATTTTGTTAGCTATTTCCTATTTGGCCAATTACTGCCCGCTTCTCTTATTTGCACATATCATGTGAGTGCGCTGACTCATGCATGCGTCATGTTCTTATCTGCTAATATAACAATAATAAATAATTTGATGTACTAACAATAAAGTTTTTAATTATAATTTGATTTTAGGCCGTATTTGGAGTTTCGGTGGCAGGGATATCTGTCCAAAATTCAAAATTTATATAATGTATTATATTTAATTAAAAAATATTTTTTACAAATGATATTTTATTCATTTAAAGCAACTAACTTTATACGGGAAAAACTCACGTACGTCAGTCTTATTATAAGTCTAAAATAAGGTGTTATTGATTTTGTTATTGTTTAAATAATAAAATCGGTAAAAAATGATCGAAAATATTATTAGGCGTTAAAAATGATCGATTTTATTATTATTAGGCGTTTTAATCGGATTTTCAAAAAAATAACCGGAAATTAGACGTTAAAAAAATGACCGAAAATATTAAAAAATGATATTTTAAGTAAAAAATAATAATATCACCCGTAACTTTTTACCGATTTTATTATTTAAATAATAATAAAATCAATAACATCTTATTTTAATCTTAAATTAAAATATCGCACTAAAGAAGTGTCCTCTTTTTACAAACAAATACAATTAATGGAATCCCAACAACCTATCAATAGACATCACTTCTCCCAAAATAAGAACAAAGCAAGTGAACAATCTATAGTAATCCCACCCTGCATCAAAAGCAGAGGAGGAAACAGCGACCTTAGATCATCTCCGGTTATTATATCTACTCTAGCGTATTTTTATCTCTATTCTAAAGATGAAACAATAATTCATCTCCAGCGTTATCTCTACATTACCACTAACTCTACTTTATTCATAATATTTAACTATTATAATATTAATTTTACAAATATAAAAAAATCAGAAAAAATACAAAAAAAAATCCAAAAAATTACAAAAAAAATAATATGATTATTTATTTAATTTTAATATATTTTTATTTATTTTATAATTTAATATATTTTAAGTAAAAAAAAAGTAAATGTAGCGTAAACTACAATGCCGCGCTAGATGTAGCGCGGCACTGTAGCACATCTTTACTGTGGCGCAGGATGTGGCGCAGCACCGGAGATGCTACAGTGTCAAAAAAATGTTATGGTAGAGTAGCGTTGGAGATGGTCTTGGTACACTCTGACTCGATTTATGAATTTTTTTCCATGCCCAGCTATAGATGTCCTACATAGGCGCCTGTCATAGAGGGCACCCCTTCAAGATGTACTTCTCAATCCAAGCCGCCCAAAGCAATCCCGATTACGCAAGAAGAAGCCACAACCATCTTATCATACAAGCTCTATCTCAAACTAAAAAAATTATTTATCTTCAGGCCCCTTTCACATTTGAGATGACACAACCTCTCTCAACTGACCTGAACGCCTACAGTTGAACCATCTGAACCCTTCCAAAGAAAAGCATTACACAATCTTTCAGTCTGGTTCAGCACTTTGGAAGGCAATAGAGAAACTCTAGTCCAAAAATTTTGAACACTGAAAATAACCGCTTGAATGACTTGCAATCTTTCGGCAAAGGAAAAGCATTTAGAAGGCTAGTTTCGAATTTTCCTAACAAATTTTCCCACTAATCTCTCACAATCCAAGTAAGAAAGGCTCTTAAAGATAAGTAGGACACTATTGTTAATACTCGTTATTAAGGGTTTATTTTTTTCTCGATATTTATTATTATGGGTTCAATTTTTTTTATAATATTTATTATTAAGGACTTACTCTTATAATTTATTTTTTCTGATATTTGTATAAGCGTCTAATCGTTTACCAATATTTTTTTAACATTTGTTATTAGGAGCCCGGTTTTTTCAATACTTGTTATCAAAGGCTTAATTTTTTTTCAAGATTTGTTATTAGGGTATACTTTTAAGATTCAATTTCTTTTCTAATATTTATTTGTTATTATAAGTCCAATTTTTCAGTACTTTTTATTAGATGTCTAATTTTTTAAATATTTTTATTATGAGCATACTCTTAATTTTTTTTTTTAATATTTGTTATTAGGTATCTATTTTTTCGATACTTATTTTGGTACAAAATCATCTCCAGGGGCAATACCTATTTAATATAATGGAGTTACCTTTAAAATTTATTTTTTCAACACTTGTTATTAGGAACAATTACTTAAATAACGGTCTATAATGACAACAACTATTATGTAGAGGTAACGACATCGTCCGAAATCGTGATATCCACAACTATTATGCCTACAAAAATATATGTTTATTAAAAATTCACAACTACAAATCATCAATTATGTCCGCAACAGAAATAGATACAACACGACTGAAGACACAAATACAAATTGTAATCATAAGTTTAAATTTTTTTTTGTTATTCTGAGGACTACTAAAATCTTAGAAACGGACCTATTTGATGTATTAAAGATATATAACTTTCCTCAAGTGATTTAATTTCTTTAAATACTAATTAAAGATACGTTATTATATTAAAACTATTATTAACAAATCTGACCCTCAATATTCTAAATAATTATTTAATTATTATTATTAAATTATAATAATGGAATATAAAATCTAGCACGGATAAATAATTAGTAGCAAGAACTTATTTTAGTGTGCGACACTTGTTCTCTAAATTCAGAGTATTCCTCGATGATATTATGGGAAGCATGCCATAATTATAAAAAGGGTAAAGTATATAATAGGATATGTTTTGTTATTATAAGATGTTGTTTTGTTAAGTATATCGACTATTAAATATTATAAAATGATCAATCGACTATAAGACGATACTTTGTCGAGTCCATCGACTATTAAAAGTTGCAAAATGGTCACTTGATTGTTTATATGTTCTAAACTATTCATTTTATGTTAAAAATCGACGACCGTCTGAGTTGGACGTTAACCTACTCTATAAGATATAATAAAAAAAATTGATCTCATAATTGTTTGGGTTGTATTTTGTGGATCGAGTTTCTATTTATATTATTCCCTCGAGTCAATGCTTAAAACGTTATGTCGTCAAGCCAATGCTTGAAAGCAACGACTGTGCCTCTAGGCATCATTAAAAATATGATTTTATCATATCACATTTAGCAGGTTAACATTTATTTCAAATGATTGTCAATTTTAACAAAAAAAACGAGTTTAGAATATATGAATAATTGGGTGATCATTTCGTAACTTTTAATAATCGAAGACTTAATAAAGCAACAACTTATAGTCGATGACCATTTTTAACTTTTAATAACTGAAATACTCAATAAAACAGTACTCTATAATCAAGAGATATTTTGTCTACTTTACCCTTATAAGTATTAAAACTAGTCTTTTTATTATATAAAAAAACTTATAAAGAACATTAAATGGTCAAAACGCCTTTTTTTATGGGTTAGATGATCCAAGCAAGGTTTCAAATAGCGATTGAATAGCGGTATGAGGTTGTTATACCGTATTTACGGTAGTATCCGAAATCACTATTACGAAAAATAATGGTGTAAAGTGGGATCACATCAATAGTGGCGGATCGTGGCCGCAATTTAACGGATCGCAGTCAATCGAGACAATAGCGGACCGCTATTATGTTATTATTCCGTCATTTTAATTTTTTTATTATAAAAAACATGTTTTTTATTTAAAAAAATCAGCTCATTCGAAAAAAATCACTATCGCAATATCCGCAATGACCGCAATAGCAATTGTTATATCCGCAACAGTGATAAACGCGACCCGACCGAAAACGTGACCGCGAACTCTATTTAAAACCTTAGATCCAAGTATGATTTTATGGTGTATTTTATATTTATGATGTATTCTATACAAGTATCGAGTATGTTACATTCATACTATGTTGAAACCTCTGTCTGGGACTTCACGTTTCGAGAACAAAAGCAAGAATGTTTGAACGAACTAATTGAGCCTTGCTACAATCATGACAGGGTGATATGTCTAGCGTTGGTAACTGGTTAAGAATATCGCAAAAGGGTCGAAACTTAACTTCCTTCCATAAAAGCTAGATGCGATTGAAGTGAAGAAACGTGAGGAGATGAGCAAACCGGGATGTGTCAGAGATCGTGATCGTGACCCAGGGACCAGGCTGTTGCAGGCAATGTGATGAGCATCGTGAGTCCGTTTTTACCAGGCAATGTTAATCCCGCTTAAACAATTCCTATAAATCATTTGGGCAACCTTGTTGTAGCCACGATTGGACATTACTTGATAATGGCCAGAACCGTGGGCTGACATATGCGCTTTGCATCCAAAGCAAGCCCAACAACATGGCTAAACCTGGATGCGCCCACACGCTGTGGCATCTCAAAACACCATAAAGAACAACGAGAAACGTTAGAGCTACAAATGTGAGTGGGGAAATGGCTGCATGCCATATCTTTCCGAACATTCCAGCTTCAGCAAACTCCGAGACCAGTTTCCTGTAATCTCTGGAAACTTCCGAAACCTTAAAGTCTCGGGTGATTTTAACAAGAATCTGGAATTTCAATTTGATTTTGATCTAAAAACTTACTTCCTCAATCTCACCCCCCATGTTCTATATTCATGCAGCGGTCAACAGGCCATGTAAGCTTTTTGTCATTCATGTTAACGGCGATCAACGTTCGAATGATTAATTTATTTATAAATTAATAATGTTAATGACCAAAATATTAATTTTAAAACTTCAATAGGATAAATGAAAAGTTATTCAAATATTAATGATCATTTGTGTTTTATTAAATTTTTTTAGATAACGGGGGCAATTAAAGAAGCGACACCTGTACAAGTACACATAATGCACTTAATTATGTGTGCAGAGAATATAAAAGGGGCTGTCATGTTTACATGATAAACAAGGATTTGTCATTCGTGTAAGTTGGCGAAGATATTTTATTCTCTCTCTAAGTTTATGATTAACGAGCACAGTACCTTTCGATTTTGGATCGAAAATCAGATCTATCTCCTTATCATTTGTATTTTCACTGATTCCTCGTTGTTTTCGTCTTCACTTTGACGATGGTTCCGCTATTTGTTTTTTGTAGTTTCGTCCGTACAGATGCTTTTCATTGAGAACTTTCATGGCGACATCGCTGTACGGTAATGGTTGTATGACATCGTCTATAGTTGTGAGTTTTGCATGTTTTCATCACTTAATCGTCTCGAATGAATGAAATTACACATTATTGTAAACGTATTTTTTTCAGTTTGCTACTGTTTTGTTGGATTACCCCCTGTTTTAATCCTTCTTTTAGGAAGAGTTCTAATTGCTATTGTTAGCTATGCTCTACTATGTTTTTTCCTGACACTGGAATTGCACCCTAGAAACTAAAACTCATCATGAAAGAGTGTTTGTTTTATTGGTTTTGATAAACATTGATTCTTTTTAATTAGTGGAAGGGAAATGTTGTGAATTTTGTGTATTGAAGCCGTTGGTCTTGGCTGTTAGAATGCGGTTGTGAATTAGGGCTTTTCTCTATGAAAGACACATGGTTTTATTGTATGGTCAATTTGTCAGGGGTAGTATTTATATGATGTAAGTGAGTTGGAATTAGCGAAAGTATTCTCGTATTAATGAAAAGAAAAGAGTAAGGAAATTGATTATGCTTTCAAATGACAAATGAAAAAACATTTTAGATAGGGAGTTGCTGTTTATAGACTTGCTATCTGTGATTATCTTGTTAGATCATAATGTCTTCGTTTTTAAGTGGCATAGAATAGTGGATGTAAAATCAAAATAGCTGGTCTTTGATTATATTCTTTGTATATGAGTAGCTGAATTGATTTAGGTTGTTGTTTGTTATGGTTATTGTATTTGAAACTAATTTTAACCGGGTTCCTGCAATGTTATTATTTGCATTGTCAATCTATGTAATTGTTAATTGAATTTCTAACCTATATTAATGCTGCTGCTTTCTAAAGCTTTTTGTTTGAATTATTTTTAATTGGAGTACCATCTTTAAGTAAAATGGTGTTGTTGTGGTTTTCTTGGATAAGTAGTCATTGTTTGTGAGTTATGTTTTACTGTCATAGTGTGCTTGCTTCCTGTGGAGGGGGTAATAGATTTGTATTGATTGATTTTTTGGTATGTAAACATTTGAGGGGAACTTTAATAAATTTTATCAATGAACTCTTAAGTTATTCCATCAGTAGCAATTTGCTTCTTCTTCTTCTTCTTTTCGTTTTAGTTTAGCAATTGGAATTTATCATTTTTCTTCTTTGATAAGTCTTTTGGGTTCTTAGTAAAGTATTGCTATCAGTAAGAGTAGCACTCAAATAAATTCCTAAACATTAATGGAAGTATTAGTTCAATTATATAGGATTGTCAATAAAATTTTTCTGCTTATTGGTAAGTCTGTTGGAAATTATACAGGTTTGCATCGTTTATACTTGGGGTTCTGGTGTTAGAAAAGGTGTGTGTAACAAATACCTTCAATCTTCTTAAACTTTTACTTGGAAGACCTTTAACAACATAAAATCTTTGAGTTGTGCAATACGGGCCTGCTAGGAAAGAGAGTTACAACTTTACCTGGATTTTTAAGGTTAAAATTTCCTATACTTTTTGTTTCTTTTTTTTTTTTATTTTTATAAATATAAAGCATTCCTGAAGTGGAATGATAATTAATAGATAGCTTTGGGTTTAATTTACTTCATTGTTACCTAAAATATAAGCCGTGTAATTCTCATACAGCGTGTACCCAATTCATCAATTCCTTATCACTTGAAGAAAACTGGATTGAACTCCATTAAAATTTTCATTTATGTTATTTTTATATTTTTGCATCCGATTAGTTCCTAAAAGACTATATCATTTGTCTCAAATATGATTACTTAATTATGGCTTCTATAAATAAATTGTGCAAATGAATGCAACAGGATAAACTCGGAATAGTAAATACTTGGTTGCCTATTTTATTGAAAATTCTAGTTGTGCTATGTCTCTGGATTGAAGTTTGATTCATTTCAAAAAGAAGCTTCAACAATAAACAAGAAGGTAGAGTGATTAAATTATGGTACTTAAAGACTGTAGGTCAATAGACCCAAAAGGACACTCCATGCTTAGAATTTTGGATGAATTTTTCACATTTACAGCTAGTATTAATTGGGACGTTGAACTCAATAAACTTGATTCCAAAGTAACTTTTAAATGCTCATATCTTATACATCCCCTTAAATAGAAAGGTAAAAACATATCTTATACATCCCCTCAAATATGGTTCGTAGTTGATCGCAATATTTTTCTAAACTGTAGTCAATACAATTACTGTTGAAGAGATAATGAGTGGAATGGAGTATCTAGTGAAATGTTGACCGTCCGTTCAAGATAGTGTGCTTAGAAAACTTTTGGCCTGTCTAAAGCAGTTACTAATTATTCAAGCATGGTTTTAGTAATGCAATGGATTGCCCAAGTTATTTCTGATTATGAAATTGCATTGCTTGTTGCATTGTTAGTGCCCTATTATATTTATATAAATAAGCAGTAATTTATTTGGTCCTCCCTGCCTCTCATTTTTTTCAGCTTTAAAATATTTTAATATATATATCAATAATGTGAAGCTATTAGAAGAAACGAAAACCAAAACGAGAAATTGTTTTTATTGGATAACACTAGTACAATTGCAATTTGCAGTCAGTAAATCAATACCGTCAAACACAAGTTAACAAGGCAGTTGACTCTAGAGTAACATCAGACACAAGCAGTGCATTCTAATTATTTCGTAAATTTACATCCAATAATGTATTTCTCTATTCATTACAGAACCCTAAAGTTTGTTTCATGAAATATTTAAGATAATTTTCTTTTCTTTTGTATGCTGAAGTACATACTTTATCTAATTGATGGAACATGAAGGCCACTGGGAGAAGCTTTAGTTTTAACCGCAGGATGGTTTTTGAGAGGGTACTGATGATGTCCATCCATAGTTGTCCGACAAGTTTGCTATTACAGTTGTAATCTGTTGGAAATTTGAGAAGTTACTTTTAGGATTGATATTGAAAAAAAAATATGCTTTCTTACTTGGATTCTGTTTGCTGTAGCTTTTAAAACTGTATTGAGTGGAAGAATTACCCCAACTTCATTGATTTTTCTGGTGCATCATTCTTAAGAGGTAGGGGCTGGCTTAACTGGAGATGAACAGGTGCATGCAGATCATATCCATTGTTGAAAGTGTCTGTGTGGGGGCTTCTGCTAGCTTCATTTGCTTGTGTTCCATAAACCTAAGACCCAAAAATTGTGCTATTTAGGACTGATTATCGTGAGGAAAATCTTCATTTGCTTATAACTCAAGAATATTTCATGGGACTCATGGCATAATGGTATTATAAATGATCTAATCCGGTACCTTGTTTTTAAGTTCAGTATTTTCTTGGCACATGAGGTCTAACTTCTTATGCAGTTCTAGACTCTCCTGATGAATGAGGTGTCCCTGCAATCCAATAACTGAATGTTACCTAACAAGAAAATTTCAAACATGAAAACTTGAATAGAAATGCAACAAAAGTTTATGTTAAACCTTGTGGTTTAGCTCTTTGATTTCGTCGCTTAGCATTTGATCCTGCAAGCAGAAAATAGCATAGGAGTAATTGCATAAATATTATCATTTGATCTTGAATGTGGTTGGTGAAAATTTCATCCAATTCATATGGTGTCATACCTTTTTCATGCGGACACCTTTCAAACTCATTTCAAGTTGGTTTTCCAGTTTTTGTAGATCATTGATGCTTAAGCCAGATAGTTCTTCTCCCATCAATTGCCTGCAACCCATCAAAGTGGAATTTATGTATGCTATTCCTCATCACATGGTATGGAAAATCTCACCGTATCATTTTTTAAAGGTTCTTATCAACTATTAATGCTTTCTTGTTATTTCAAGTGATCTTTGCTATTTCTAATATCATGTTATGGATGTCATGCAATATATACTAACATTTCTTGAAATCTCCATGGCAAGAGTTGCTTTGCTTATTTAAATTATATGCAAGATCTGTATTATAGGATGCCTAAATCACCAGTGTTGAAAAATGGAGATAGTTTTGGGAGTTTTAGTTTTCCTTAAAGTTGGTATTTTTCTTATGTTGAAGACTATTCTTATCCATGTTCATCTAAAGTTTGAGAATAGTTGTGTTCAAATAGCTAAGAAGATGATTTAGGTGTACATATGACAAGCATGATCATGAAGGAAAATGTTATCTATAAGCAAAGCGTGGTGATTTTTATATATTTGTTTAGGAAAATATTGTAGTCGTTTTAGGAATTAGAAAGCTCAATTTGATAGTTGGCAGTTAAACTCCTAGAACATTTTGTCATGAACAATGAGACTACGGGAGTTAATTAGAAGGTGAAATGATTTCTTCAACAAATTTCAATTGTTAATCACCCTTTGTTTATATTATAAAAGTACTCTAAAAATTAAAGGTCATATTTCACCCTATGGAAATTAACAAAATATTAAAATATTTATCTCACATCATTTTAATATTGAAAATAATAAACATTTCTATAATAAAAGATGACCTCGAAAAATAATAGGATATCATATGAAACTTTGAAGGAACTTTGAGTTTATTGATATTGGACCCTTCAAAGCTTTGAAAAACTATAAAACAACACAGAGTAAACCAAAAACTTGTTTTCTACCTCTCTTGTTTTTCATTCAAAAAATAATATAAAACATGACAAAAGTAAACATTGAACCAACCATTAATAAAAATAACAGGGACCAATATAGAAAAGAACTTAGAAAAGTGACTTTGTGAAAGAAATGCCAAATAAACAAAGGGGTTGTACCATAGTTTTCTTCTGTATATACAAAATAATTTGATGTAGACTATAGCCAAAGAACCTTTCGAAGAAAATGTCCATTTTGAATGGAGATTCTTGAGTGAATGATTATATATGTAGAAAAAATTGTTATTGGTATTGAAACTTTAAAATTTTCATTAGGCTTCGAAACTATCAAAGCCATGGAGAAATTTTGTAATGTACTATAGTGATGTAAGAAACTTTTTATATATTAATTTTCCCCTTTGAACAAAAATCTTGGATCCATCCTTGTTCTTCACTGTACTTCTCCCGTTAAGATACGCAAACATGATCATAAAATTTAGTTTTGGAAACTATGTAGTTGATGCATTTGTTACTACAAAAATATTTTGAGGCATGATTTTTACATTTTATAGAAGTTTCTAGCTTCTTGCTTTAGATTTACAAATCCAAAGATTCTTAAATATTGTTTTAGTGGTGATGAAATAGAGGCTTTTAGTACCTGTGGTATTCTTGCAAGTACTGTAGTTGTTGTCTCAAGCTTGCTACCTCCCTCTGCCAAAACTATCAAGTACAAAGTCAATTAGTATTAAGTAAGGATCATATTCTTGAATCTGAAATATTTTATTTTTAAACTAATGTAAAAAGAGATTTAAAAATTGAAGTACATGTCAAAGAACTTGGTAGAATAGTCTTTATTCAATGTCAATGCAATGTCAACTACTTGTGAGTTACATGGATTTAACCTATGACTCAACATACTTTTTTGTTGGGTTCACATATTTTGCAACTTTAATGCATCCAAGTGATTTATTACTCAAACTGAAGTTATTTGCAAGCTTAAACTACCTTTTGACAAGTTTGAGTTAGATTCTTCTTTCCTGGCTTTTTTGCAATTCTTAATATAGAGACGTGTCCTTCAACCTATCACCAATTGATTTTGGGTTGGATGTATAACATGGCAGCGAATCTCAGGTTGTTTTTCATTGTTCCTCTTTACCTCGTGTTAGGTTGATGGCCTTGGTGATGTTGTTCTTGAAGAGGAGTCTTGAGTGGTGTTACCACACACATCTATTAAGTCTTGGGTTTGTTGTAACAATTATTAAAGACTAATTTGCCACAAGCAATAAAGAACAAGATATTTTGAGATGAAAAGTCTTTTCAAACATACTTTCCAATAAAAAGCGCGTCACATAGGTCACTCTATCCATTTCTCGAAATTTAAATTTGTTTGTTGAGTGGACGTGTCACGTAGGACAAAGGCATGGCTAACAAGGCACGCCTTTGCCCTATTTTGCGCTTCCGATCATCTAAAAGGGTGCCATCAGGGGAGAGTACTAAATCCATAAATAATTTTTGGAAGGGTATTTTTGAGTAAAAAAGCGTTTGCCTAAGGCATAATAAAATTGCTCAGGTGAAGAGAGGAAGGCATAATAAAGTACCTTTAAAAGAACTTAAGTCAGGCCAACTTTTTTAACTCCTATTGTTTTACAAAAAGCTAGCCTAGCTGCCTAGATGCACCTAGTAATGCACTTCATTAAACGTTTCTTGCCTAAAGGTGTTCAAAACACTTCTATTATCTTGTAGTAGCGCTCTATTGATAGCATGACCTTGAACGCTATTAGAATGTAATGTACCAAAGGGGACTAAGAGTACAAAATTGATACGGATAGCTTTTATTTGGAGACATCTTCTAATGTTCTTTGGGGAGAGTTTATTTCTAAGACAGTAAAAGTCATTTATCTTCATTAGTTATCGAAGTCACTCTTAACCCCAATTCTAGTTTTTATGCTTAAGTGTGTGGTGGTCAACCTTGGTGCATTCTGAGGAAAACATATGTTCCTTTCATTATATCTGTAGATATGGAGGTATTATTTTGTCTAATTTTCAGAGTTTCATTCTAGTGTTGGGTCTGTGTCTGATCGGCATCTTTTGACATTTGCATATCGATGCCTTCTCTCTCTCTCTCTCTCTCTCTCTCTCGTCTGTCATTTTCCCTCACTAGTAATAAGTTTTCTATTTGATTTTCTTCTTGAATGTGAAGATGGACATGCATAAACTTTTTATGCTTGAGAGTAAATCTCTAGTTCACCAGGCACACGAGTTAGAAATCAACCCTAGATGTTGGTCGGGCCCAATTTTTCAAATCACCTCCTGGTTTGCTTGGAAATTCCTTTTCACTAGCCATGTTTATGCATGTTTCATGAAGCCATGTAGGAATAGGAGGTCTCGTTAAAAACCTCCCTCATCGTTGCCTCTTAAGAAGAGACAACTAACTGAAGGAGGAAAAGAGTACCTCAATTTATTAATATACCTCAATTTATTAATACCCCAGAATTACATAAGATACTTGAGGTTGCAAATGGTGGATATTGCTGACTGTATGATAGGATTGTTGCTTTAGAGTTTGAGCAGAGGGTGGCATCATACAGTTAGGAAATACAGTTGTTTGGCAGAAGTAGTTATGTTGGAGTCTTATTGAACATAAACCTGCAGATGCAGTGGAAAGAAAAACAGTTGTAAGTTACTCTGGACACTGAAGGAGGTTATGATTCTTGAATTGCGAAGTCACTTCTGAGAGTATATGAACACTTGAGGATTGCAGTGGGGAAAAGGATACATGGTGCACTTTAAACAGAGGACGTTTTACTTGAAGATGTTTTACTCATCTAACACCTTCAATAGTTTGATAAAAACGATCTGTCTGCAACCTTCAAGCACTGAAGGCATCCAGTTGTTTTTTTTTTTATAGGAATAGGAGGTCTCGTTAAAAACCTCCGTCATCGTTGCCTCTTAAAAAGAGGCAACAACCTGAAGGAGGAAAAGAGTACCTCAATTTTATTAATAAACCGAATTACATAAGATACACTTTACACTGACAAATCCTAACAGAAACACAACATACCAACGATGACACTCAAAACGTTCAACCTATCCCCTCCTTAGCTAGCTTGTCCGCCTCACAATTATAGCTCCTAGGGACCCATCTAACCAAAATGTCCTTAGCAGAAACTAGGGCAGCAATGTCCCCGACCAAAGTTCTGAAAAAAGAGGGGGTCAAAATAGGCCTCAAGATCCAATCCACTACCTTAGAACAATCACTCTCTATCACTAATCTACCTTTCCCCGCCCAATGAGATGAAAGAAAAACAACAATTCCCTCTTTGATTGCTTTCAACTCAGCAAACAACGGCGGACCAGGACCCACAGCAGTAGAGAAGGAGATAAGCTTAGAGCCGTTCGAGTCTCTCAGAATTCCCCCTATTCCTCCTTGTAAACCATCAGACCTTACCGCCCCACCCACATTGAACTTAAAGAAATCTGGTGGAGGGGGGTGCCAACACGTATCCTTCCTCAGCTTAGGAGGGCACACTCCAATAGTGTCAGCAAGCCTTGGATCCCCTACCTCCCAACACGTATCCTTGTATCCTTCCAGTTGTTGGTTGCTGTAAATTTTACCTCTTGACTTTAAATATAGGTGTGCAACATCTGTCTAGAAGATTATAGTATGAATGTCTACTTTTGGTTCATTGCTGAGATTTCAACAAGCATTTTTCTGTTGTACGCAAAAAAGGAAAAGAAAAAGGAAAGAGGGTTCTTCTCATGCTATTTGGCAGAATATAATGGCTAATGCGGTGGGAATTCATTTCTATAGTAGACTCGATACTAGCATGGAGACTTTAATAAGAGGGCTTCTAGGGTTTAGCCTTGTAAAGCTTTTGTTCTGATGGTTTCTAAAATCTTCAAAGTTACCTTCAACTGACAAGGAATACTACGATGGTTTTGCTTAAAGGAATATACTCTTAGACTTGGTTGGATTTCATTTTCTACTATGTTGAACATTTCATGGTATAGAAGTCCTAGAAGCTCCATGCTTAAGCTGATATCTGTGTAGCCGAAGCTTGCATTGTTTTTGAGATCTTAAACTCTACATGTAGTGGGAAACATGATATAATTTCCCATTGTCAGGCAACATGGGTTTCCATCGCATGGCTCCGTCTCTCAAAGTAAAGCCAGGTTCTTTCTCCGCTTCTCTTTCTTTCTGTCGATGGTCCTCATTTTGAAAGAAAGCTGAAGATGAATAGTCAAAGTGATAAAAGCACGGTTGCTGTTTTGGTTCCTCAAATTGATGCGGATATATATTTGTAGTTGTCCATGTTCTTATTACTATCTTACTAAGAAAGTTGGAGACTGAAAGGAATATGCCTTTAAAAGAGGAAGATGTAACGTTGGAAGGTAGATGTTTTTTTTTGAGCAAGTGGAAGGTAGATGCTTATATGGCTTTAAAGAAGTGATAGACAATGATATGAATGGTTCTTGCAAACAATTGTGTCCAACAGGGATAATTTTTATGGATTAAATGGAAGCAGTTAATATATAATTTACCTTGACTTCTGAAGCAGGATTCCTCACTTGATGTTCTTCTTTTACCCTCTTGTAGCGTTCTATTACAGATTTCATGCTGATAACATGATACAAATAGAATCAGTTCTCTTATTTATGTTCCGCGTTTACATTGAACGGTAATTTCTAAATGCATTGTACATTTTTGAAATCAATGTTTCTAATTGGAAGAAGCTAATATAAAAGAGAAGAAATCTGAAAACAACCTTACATTTACTATGTTATTAAAATGGTATTTTAATTAAGATGTATTAAAAATATTTTTTATACTTGTTTTTTAAGGTATAAATTTTAACAATAATAAAGAATTATGAAATAGATGCGATAAATGGATGGTTTCATTTTGAAATTATATTATATATATATATATACAATAGTGGATGTACTAAGCCCCATAAGAGGTAAATGTATTATCATTATTTTGAGAAAAAAAATAGTTAAATTTAGTTTAAATGTTAAAGAAAAAAATTAAAAAAAAATCATACTTACAGAAAAGAATATTAAAATTTTAGACCTCATTCTTAAATTTATAGATCCGTTAATATATGTAAATTTAAAGAGATGTTAATAACTTATGGAATGCAAAAAAAATACTCCCTTCCACCCTATAGATAACATTGTGTTCAAATTTTTAGCTAACCCAAAATAAAGTTTCATTTGAAATATACAAAGAAAAAAAATCTTGTTTTCCTTTATTATCTCTCAATTCACTTCTCATTTAAAAGGCAACTCATGAAAATCTTTTAAAAAGTGTTAAACTGAATTAATACAAATCTATGGTATGTTTTTAAGGATTTTTTTTTCTAAAGATAAATACTTTATAAAAGCATTGTATTACCAATACAGGTAAAAGTATAACTCATGAAAATCTTTTAAAAAATGTTAAACTGAATTAATACAAACCTATGGTATGTTTTTAAAGGTTTACTGTCTTAAAGTTGACATCATTGTGGATTACATATGAATGTATGTGGGAGTGCAGTTGCGGGTGTAGTTGTGTTTCAAAGTATGTGTTCGTTTTGAAATCTAAATTATTTTATGATAATTGTTTATTTTACTAATAAAAATTTTGTTTATACTTTTTTCATATAAAAATTTATATTATTAATATATATATGTTCACTTTTAAAAATATCTTTAGATTCGTCACGTGAAAATAAGAAGTATTTTTATGATTTAAGTTTCTAAAATAAGGCTATAAGGGGTTAATGAAGTCAAAATGTAGCCTAACTGGTTCAAACAATCATTCCTTAAAGTGATATTCAATTAGTGAAAGATTTCAAGTGAACCTTAATTTATATCTCATCCTATACCTACAACCCCTCTTTTATTAATAACAATGATAATAACAATAATAATAAATAGTATAATATTTCAACTTTTTTATTCTTATTTTTCTTTAGAGATAATTGCACCAGAGATCTTCAAATCATGACATTCATTTTAAATTAGTATCTAAATTTTAAAATATTTTATATAAGTTCTCAAATTACAACCGTGTTCTAATTGATATTTAAATTCATAATATTCTATATCAATTCTTAAATCATCATTATTGTTTCATTTTAATCTACTCATTAATGTATCATTAAATTTATTGGTTAAAAAATTAACATATTTTTAAGGTCCTAGAAATTGAACCATTGAACTAAATTTAAAATAAATCAAAAATAAATAAAATTTTAAAGGATATATTAAGATAAGAATCAAAATAGAATAATAATGATAGTTTGAAGATTGATAAACAAATTAAATTTTTTAAAAGGTTGTGGATTCAATGCTTAAGACATTTGAAAATATATTATTTTTTAACCAGAAGAGTTAATAACACACGATAATAGAATGATGAAATATAATGATATTGTTTAAAGATTGGTATTTAATGTTTTAAATTTAAAGTTTATTTAAAATGAAAATTATAATTTGAGGAGTAATATAAAATTTTTTAAAGTTCAATGATTCGCTTAAAATGTAGTCATAAGTTTGATGATTTCCTGAACTAAATTATTCAAAAATTTATTTGATTTTCTTAATATAAAAATGTTTGGGTGTCTCAGAGTTAAGGTTTTGTGCATAACCAGGGATGGAGCCAGAATTAAATATTGGCAGGGGTCGAAATATTAGACTATTTAAGAAAAATATAAAGACTTATTAGGTATTTAAACTCGAAATTCAGCATGAACCAAGCGACCTTAGTGATTAAGGGATTGTTATTATCCTTGAGGTCTCGAGTTTAAGCACGTATGTAGGGGTATGAGTGTTCATTGTCAAATAGTTGAAAATATTTGTACAAATATTACCTTATATTCACCCTAAATTAAAAAAAAACTCAAAAGACAACTTCTAATTTGTCTAATATAACTTTCAATGACTTAAATTGTAATTAGACCAAAAATTTGAGAACACGGACTTATAATTCTTTAGTTCGACCCCTACTTGATTAAATATTTAATAAAATTTTATATTTTATATTTTTTAAATTTAAATATTTATTTTTACTTGAACCAAAATACTATTAAACCAAAATTATATTGAATATATAAATTTTAACAGGGCCAAGCCCCCTTGAGCCCTAAGGGAGCTTCGTACCTACGCATAACTAATAATATTGTTATAAATTTAAAGGAATATTAACATTTTAAAAAATAAGAAAAAGAAAAGAATGGAAGAAAATACTCAATAGAATGAACCTCCAAGCACATCGGAACCATTGCTCATTAAATATTTTATGGTAAATGATAAAAGCAAGCACGCATGCATGCATGATGATACTGACATTTATATGCACAAATCCGATCGGACTTGACAGAAATGATAAAAGCAAGCACGCATGCATGCATGATGCATCAACCTCTCCAAGCCAATGAAAAATGGTGTAATTTATGCAAGATTACGCTTACACGTTCTTAATTTTCTTTCTATTCTCATCTGCATACATACATACTACATATATTATTATCCAAGTTATAACTTTTTTTTCTAAATACAAATCATAATCTGATTAAAAAATAAACAAAACATGCATGCATGGATGTATGTATGCGCATCAAACCAGAACCCTCAAAGCAAATGAAAAATGGAGTGATTAAGCCAAGACTACTCTTAACCATTCTTAATTTTCTTTATATTCTCATATTCATACATACAAATAAACAGACAGCCATGCATGCATCATAGCAGAAATCAACAAAATTGCATAGACACATAACGGATTTTTAAACCAATTAACTTAGATAATTAAAAAAAATTATCACCAGTATAGAAGATAATAATGCCGTATATAAAAATATATTTATATGTATATTGTTTAGAAAGTAATAGCAAGTGTTTTCAGGATGGTACATCCTAACATAAGTCTATAAGTACTCAAGATTTAACCTAATTGCTTCAAATAACCATCCTTAAAATAACAGTATTCAAAATAACCTTCCCTTGTTAACATTTCTAAGAAGAGAAACAACAGTAATCAAAACAAATAAGGTTGAACAAACGAATTCGAAATAAGATCAAGCTCAAGAAAAATATGGGATTAAAGATAATACTATTTAGTTTTGTTTTAATTAAAAGAAAATAATCATGACGAGTTGTGGCTGTATATCCAAAACTGTTAGCATGTATTTGGATTTTTAAATGCTCTGCTAAAGAAGAGAAAAGGGAAGTTTATTCCGCAACTAAAAACTATGTTAATCAGGTTTTTTATTTCATTCGAAAATATTTCATACTATTCTTCATATATAATTTCTTTTAACAAAAAGTATATATTCACACTTACCATCTTATATTCAAATAACATAAACAAAAACTTCTGGTACTTGCCATCAATAAAAGAAACTTCAATGGCTTTTAGTTTCTTCTTCATTATTTATATAATTTCAAACATGTTCATGTTCAAACTTAGAATTTGCATGCATGTTTCAAGGGGGAAGACCCAATAATACCTTATACATAATTATCATTTATGTTTCCTTGTAAATCTAAACAAGCAACAGCTTTCAGGTAACAAAATTATTAAATATATATAAATAAATATGTAAGAAATAAATAAAAAAAACCCAAAAAAATAAAAATAAAAAGTAAAGAAGGAGAAACTGACCTAGTGCTGGCATAATCGTAAAGCCTGCCGGTGCTGGAAAAGATGATTAATCCAACTTCAGCATCGCAAAGGATCGATAACTCCCTCGCTTTCTTCAACAATCCATTTCTTCTCTTTGAGAAAGTCACTTGCCTGCTTGTCGAATTGTCAATTCTTCGAATCACTAATTTTCCTCTTCCCATTGAAATCTAAGGGGTTTTCAACTGTTTCTCTCGCCTAGATCTCCCCCAATTTAGCCCTAGAAAATCTTAAATCAATGTCCAAAACAAAAATCCAAGCCCAACACGCATAATTACATACTAAGAAAAACGAAATTAATCGGAAAATAAAGTAAATTATGACACAAAATATGATTTCGAGCTGCCAAAAAATATTTAGCCATTTAGGGATATATATATAGAGAGAGAGAGATATAGAGAGAGAGAGATATAGAGAGAGAGAGGAAAGCTTACTTGTTTTGAAGCTAATTATGAAGAGACGCAAGTGCTTTTCGTGTATTTTTATTTTTCCCTTCTCTTTGGAAGACAACTTTCGAGAGAGAAATGAACTGATTGAGAGAAGAAATTGTATTTATGCTGTAAATGGAAAACGCTGTAAGCGGTTTTCAAACATCACAGGAAAAACCACCTTTTAGCGCTTAAACCACTGAGCCCAAACAGCTTAGCGGTTTTATTATAGACCTACTCTCGCGAGTATGTGCATAAGATACTTACCCGCTTAATTTGAGCGACATCTGTCGCGGTGAATCAAACAAAGCTCTGTTGACATAAGGGAGAGGATTGGGAGAACTGTTGAAGTTTTAGTGTTGCATAGGTAGATTTTGAAAGGACACGCGTCGGAAGGCGAAAGCGAGTAGACTAATGATGCACTCGAAGGTGATTTGGAGAAGTTAGTAATCTATGAACTCTCAGTGCTCTCAGCATTCGTGGGTTGCCTGACGTGGAATTACTGATAAAAGTGGCAGTGGAAAAGTGAAAGCACTGTAACATTGACGTATAGATGATTGACACGTTAGCTAACAAATCGAGGAGATCCAATGATTATTTATTCAAGTTTTATAATTAATAATTAAAATGAAAATGCAAATGTAATTAAATACTAATTGTTTGAAAGGATATCATATTTTATTGTTTAATAATAAATAAGATAAATTATCCGTTTAGTACTCAACTATCGCTTTTATTCTGTTTTGATCATCTAACCATTTTTATTTCCTATAATGATAAAATTAATACCTAACGTTTGCACAAATGATCACTTAACCCTCTATCATTTTGGAGCCTTTTAGCCCTCCCAAAGTTTCATTTTCTTAGTCAAAATAACCGTTGTTGGATGAAAATTGTTAGTTGATTAATGGTTAACATATGTTGTTAACGTGTCATTTTTACATATATTCAATTAATAACATGACATTTATCACATCATCATTTTGGTGATGTGACACATATCATGTCATCACTTTGTGTGACATGACACATGTCATCATTTTGTATGACAGGACACAATGTCACATCATTAATTAAACACATATTAAAATATCATATCAATAATATGAGTTGATCAGTAGTCAACTAATGGTTTTTACCCAACAAAGGCAATTTTGATAAAAAAATTGAAATATTGGGGGCTAAAATGCTCAAAAAAAGAATAGGAGTAAAGTGGCCATTTATACAAACATTGGGAACTAATTTTGTCATTATGCCTTTTTGTTTCAAAATCATACCTAACACTTACTTTTGATTTTTTTGTCATCCATAGTTAAAAATTAACAATGACCAAAATACATGTTAGCAATTTTGTTAATTTTTTAGTGAAGGGTGACCAAAAAGAAACTAAAACTAAACGTTAGGTATGATTTTGAAAATATAGATGACCAAAATTGAACAGAAGTGATAGTTAGATACTAAATGTATAGTTTACTCTAATAAATAATTTGGAATAACCCGGTGTTTTTTTCATCTGTAAATTTGTTATAGTCGCCACAAATTATTTAAAAATATAATCAAATATTTTATTAGACTCTATTAATCAAATTTTTATTTTTAATATAATAATAAAGATAATAATTTAATTTATACTTAAATAAATATTTGATACTTGAACTATGTAATTTCTCTTAAGTTGGTGTCTAAAGAATTTTTGCCATCAATTTAGTAATTGACTATGTAATTTACAATGAAGGTAAAATTTGAGATGATACAAGTGCATTTATAATATTAGTTATTCATAGGAATATAAGTAAGATTTTATGTTATGGGAGCGAACTTATAAAATTTTAAGGGAGATAAATTTATAAAAATTTTAGGGGGAAAAACAAACTTTCAATAGAAAATACAAAGAAAATATATAAAATATATAGAAATTTAAAATTTTTAGGAAGGTGACCGCCTCCACCCGTCCCCACCTAAGTCCATCCATGATTACTTGAAATTTACATTTTAAAAGAAAATAATATTTTTAAAAACGATAGAAAAATTAAGGGTAAATTATCTATATGGTCAGTCACATATTAATTAGCTTTTGTTTTAGTCGTTAAACTATTATCATTTTAAAGCATATATAAAATTACGTTTTGACCATCCGTCGTTAAGAAAATTATTAGTGATGCTGACATGATATTATTATTATTATTTTCAACAGTGATGCAACATTAACTTATGATGACATGTCAACATTGCCATTTATTTGTTAACGGCGGATGATCAAAACATAATCAAAATGTAACGTTAATTATAATTTTGAAAAGATAATAGTTATGTAACCAAAATAGAATCTAGGTGAATGACCAACTAAGTAGTTTACCCAAAATTAATATGATTAAGTGTAAATGTTTGTTGAGAAAGCTTGTGATTGGTCAGACCCATGTGACAGTGTCAAGCCGAGATACGATGTTTCCTCGTATAAATCAAACCTAGAGTACTAAAGTTTTAAAACTTTAATAACGCTTAACAGCTCATTAAATTAATAGGGATAATACTAAGTTTCCGATGCCTTGAAACACGGAGATAGGCCAAGTGCGAAACATTAATAAACCATATATTAATAATAATTTTTGACCAAAGTACATAAAAAAAGGTGACACCATACCTTACGGCTCTAATAATAATATTCTACAATTAAGCTCGGTTTCCCAACAGTGCAAAAAACCATCGTTTTTATTGATTATTATTTTACTCAATCGGGTGAATCACACCACATTTAATATAAGAAAAACCATAAAAAAAACATAGTTTTGGTTTAAGTGGTAAATATCTTGATATCGTTTAGGCAATGTTTTAAGTTCGAGTCCTTGTATATACAGAAAATCCCTATTGAGAGACTCATCCACCAAAGCTAGATATGCGACGCGGGACGGTTCGAATTAGTCAAGATGAAGCGTTGAAGAGATATATATATATATATATATGAGAAATTATAGTAAATTAGACACAATTTATGAATCTATACGATTGAAACAAGCTCAAAAGTCTTTTAAGAGTTGATGGTAAAATTCTTAAGCTAAAACTGTCCATAGACACTTCCAAAGAATAATATACAATCAGTTATTAAGATTTAGCCCGAACTAAACAATTTCGATAGTTAAGGGATTTGTTGTTATCTCTTGATGTTTTGGGTTCGAGCACTGCGGTGTATGAGCTTTCATTATTAAAAAGATTGAAAGTTTTTTAACATTTATTATCTTGTATTCACCCCATAAGGTAATCTCATGTCATCATTATTATTTTTTTTTAAATACATCAATAGTTCTGTTATTTTTTAACAGCGGGTGACCAAAATGTAACTTTAGGTATAATTAAAAAAAATAATAGTTAGATGACCAAAACATAACAAAAGTAATAATTATAATACTAAACTTATAATTTATATTTTATATAAGATTATATTATTATACACGTAGGGATGGACATGGATCTGGTTTGGTCGAGTTTTTGGTCCACCCGACTCGACCCGAGAACAAGGAGTCCTCCACCCGAGACCCGACCCGACATATAACTTAAAAACCCGACCCAAAATAATAAAAAATTATTTTTATTTAATAAAAACAATGACTTAATTGAAAATATATATAGAGGGGTATTATTGTAATTATTTTTAAATATATAAGTTAAAATTATATATTATTTTCGGGTCGGTCGGGTATTTTTCATCTTAAACCCGACCCCGACCCGACCCTAATTTTTTTTTTAAAAAATCCGACCAAATTGAGTCGGAACCCGTCGGATTCGGGGTCCCATGCCCACCCCTATATATACTATCCGACTAATAACTAGAATATATCTTTAACTTAAATTAAAATAAACTATATAACGTTCACACAATCGTTCACACAATCATATAATCGGACTTAAACGAAAATCAGATTTAATTGAGAATCTCGACATGATCTTAAATTTACCATTAAACTAAGATCTTATCGACAATCTCTCTTGCAAGCCCGAAAACAAACCTTTATATTTAAACCAAAACCAAACATTTTTCACAAAGGATGTAAAATTCTGTTGAAATATACAACACATCTTTACAACAATAACACGTCAATTTTATCTATATTCCTTGGTAATTGTATGGTGTGCAGGTCTTGAAAGATTTCTAACAGAGGAGTGCATCCATTAGTTCACTGGACAGCCATCAACCATTATTCCCTTGGCTGTTGGACAAGTTGCCAAATCACAGTGTTCACCTTCCGTTCCCCACCATGTCACACTTCTGTTCTCTATTCTCTCCGAAAAGTACAGCACTATTGCCATGAAAGCTACCCCCGCGTCTAGAGCCGCCGAAAGAATGTAATTGTACCTTTTCCACCACTGCTTTTTGTACCGGAAGACGAAGAAGTTGAAAACGGTTCCGACTAAAATCCAGGCGTTGTAGTTTACTGGTGTTGCTGGTGGCATCGTTCCTGTTGCTCCTAGAAGAACTGGGAGGTTGATCAGGGGGATCCAAGTTCGTTTGGGAAATGTCTTGTGCAAGAGCCTGTTGAAGTATGATGAAGGAGCACGTTGCATGTTGAGGAAGCATGCTGATGTGTTCGTACGTGATTGATCAATGGCTAGCATACACGAGCTGTTAGAGCCACGAGTGCAACAGGCTGCAGCCTCTGTAGATGCAGCAGTTAATGCTGTTAATCAGTTTTGAGTCTTGTTAGAGCAGTTACAATTAGTTGAGTTCTTGTAATCTTTATTGCTATATAAGGAGTGTATGTGATTAATGAAAGCAGTGAAAAAGTATTATCATTTTCTAAAACTGTTCTTGTCAAATACGAGAGTGTTGAGCTCTCTCAACAGAGCCACACAACGACGGGTCCTAATGCTCCTTTGACGAAAAACCAATTCATCGATCGATAGTTTCCTAGAGATCCGAAGATCCGTTTGGGGCCAACCAAACCCCATATGACCGATGCGTCGAAGAAGACTCGATCACTAGGGCATGTCCAGGGACTGTCGGCTGGAAGGAGATCATCCTGGCATGTGTTCTCAACAGAGTTCTGCAACCACCATGCCACTGCAATGTTGATGGTTCCAGCGAGAACTGTTCCTATGAACTAGGTAAGCACAGGGAAACGCAACATAAGTGCTGTGAACTACTACTGGCCATCTTTTTCAGTTTTCATCGAGATATATGTCGATGCATCGTAGATAGAAGAAAAAGTACCAGAACTAAGAACATTGATCTTGGAGGTATCTTCATGTAGTGTCCTAGCTTGAAATCGTTGAGGAAGGAGACTGCTTGAGCCATACTCATATAACCATAGGTTTTGAAGCACACATTTGCCATCGGTCGTCCGTGATAGATGAGACCCGTGACATACTCTGTGATAATGTTCAAGCCTGGTGTCTGCATGATAAGTGGAAATGAAATCAGTGAAATAGGCGATTCTCTACAGTTTTACCTAGTGTAGGATCTTATCATGGAAGAGTGAATTGATTTACCTGGTTCGTCGTGGCGGTTACGATACTAATCGGAAGAGTGAAGATGAAGGCCATTGCACCAGCAAAGAGGAGTCCCCACCACGGCATCTTCACTTGGTCATTCAAGAAGATGCAGAGCACCAGTGACACTACAAATGTTGCAGCAAGCAAAGCGTAAAACGACCAGGAAGGTATGTCCTTGTATCTTTTCATCAACCTTGTGTGAATATCCTCCTTCCCCGAGTAAGAAGCACGATACCGATCATATATCTCCCTGTTGATAACAGTTTGACAATAGTTAAGTTCAGTTATGTTAACTTATTAATAGTCTCATGTGAAGAAGCATCTAAGAAAGATGGATATAAACTTACCTTCCATAGAAGAGGGCCACATGTGTTATTGTCGATGCAATCCTGGCGAAACCGAATCCATACGTGAGAGAGAAGAACATGCTTAGATTAATTCGACCCTGCTCTTCGTACTTTGCTAAATCGATCTCGAACTATTCATTAAAGATCGCGGTTATGTTGTACTTTTGTCCTTGGGCAGTAAACAACTGAGAGGAGAATATGGGGAATCTACTAGCGTTGTACAAGTCTAGACCCCAGAAGATACCGTAATCACTATGTAGATTATCAATACATAGCCTACAAAAATGTTGACAATGGCAAAGAAAGGGCTGATGAGCGGACTGAACAAGAAAGATGCCACAATAGACCAATCAAGTGTGAATGCTCCTAGTCCGAGTCCCCTAAGACCCGAACCAATTTGCTGGGCGGTAACGGACTTGTAGAAAATCCAGCAGACCCATGAGATGCTGGTAAGAGTTGTGAAGAGGTAGCCCGGGAACAGGTACCACATAAGAAGCTGCAAATTAGTACAATGAGGAAGAACTTTGCCCTTGTTATTTGTCGATCATTTTTATCATCTTTCTCATGCAAAGCCCTGCAATTCAGACCAGAGAACTTACAAATCAAAGTACTGCAGTTTTTGCTTGTATTATGCATTCTTTTCTCTTCGTAGATCGAATTTATAGACATGTATGAAAATATGAAACTGTTGCATATCGTAGTTACGTATATTTTTGTTATGTTCGTAATAAATATATGTTATATGTTAGCGGATCCAATAGACATCTGGTCCGTTAACATCAGCAGTCACCATGTATCTAAGGCACCCTTCTGGCTTTCCAAATATACCCGCAAAGCTCAAGGCTTCATATCATCATGTCTCGTGACTCTCCGTCCAAGTTAGAAGGAGTAAACCATCAATTGATGGCCACAACCACCGTCCTCTGATGTTATACATCAATAATTTTGATAGATACTTCTATTTTAATTGCTAGAATTTAGAAGCTAGTACAATAGGCCCGAGTCCTGTTTTATGACGGTACGAGTATAAAATTTGTACATGTTTGGGGAGATACTCCAGTAGAGCTGATGCAACTTGTTTTAAGGCTTTGCTACTGGCTAGTAAAGAGTGACCTGAACCAACCATGGCTGGCCCTCCCATCACTAATTTTAGGTGCTAAGTTTCATTCACAGGATGGCCCTCCTACTAAAGCTTAATTAGACGTTTACCAATTAGCCGGTTGCCAACCATGTCTCGGGCGTTTCCCTTTTAACCCACTGACATCGAAAATTTAAATTTATATTATAATATATTAATATAATAATAATAATAATAGTTTAATTTATCATTATTATAATATAAATGTATAATGAAATTGAAATAAATATATAATGTGATATATCATAATAATACATTTAGTACTTAAAATTATGCATTCTATTAATTTTATCTTGATTTAAAATTATTTAATAAATTTAACTCTTCATATTAAAAAAATTAACAAATTATTTTTTCATAATACTGTCAAAAGAAACGAATTCATCGAATCAAAGTAACATTCGGATAATTACATTATACCATAAAACAATAATAATTTTTTTAAGTTATTATTATATCATTAAAGTTTATACACTTTTAGTAAAGAGGGTACCTGATAGAACGAGTGGATTATTATTTTTCTTTGATTTTAATCTTTAATATTTATTGTTTAAGTTTACTATGGAACTCATTTAGAATTTACTGTGATCATACCAACGCCAACATCAAATCTTGAAGTCATGCACTCGAGCAAAAACTAAGCAATTCAGGGAAGTTCTTTCACACAAATGCATTCATGCAGTTCATATATTTAGTGAGTTTAAGTCCTCTCATCACCCCTTTATTAAGTTTATAAGGACTGGAGCTATACTCTTTAGTATAGTTTCTTCTTTAACTTAAGATACTACTCCTTTATCATCTTCCATTATCATTCTTTCAACCATCTTCCGTTGTCGTTCATACAACAATATCGAGTCATTTTCATCATCAACATCCACTGAAGACCACCATTACTTCTATCAACTTCCACAACAACTCTACTTCTATCCTTTCTTTGTTTCATTTCATTTTCATTTCCATTCTATCATTATTTATCATGTACTAATCATATTTCATTATTTTCTTATTTGCAATCATACTTATCAATTCAGGGGCAATACTTGCTATCAACTTCCACAACAACTCTACTTCTATCCTTTCTTTGTTTCATTTCATTTTCATTTCCATTCTATCATTATTTATCATGTACTAATCATATTTCATTATTTTCTTATTTGCAATCATACTTATCAATTCAGGGGCAATACTTGCTATCAACTTCCACAACAACTCTACTTCTATCCTTTCTTTGTTTCATTTCATTTTCATTTCCATTCTATCATTATTTATCATGTACTAATCATATTTCATTATTTTCTTATTTGCAATCATACTTATCAATTCAGGGGCAATACTTGCTATCATTTCCTAAGCTGGAACAACACAATAAGACTATCTATTATCTTCTCCATTGAAGGTTGTGGATAGACTTACATCAGTAAAGTATATAAATGGTCTCCCTACTATAAGATATTGCTTTATTAAGTTACTGACTATTAAAAGTTGAAAAATGATCACCTGACTATTCGTATGTTCCAAACTTATCATTTTTCATTAAAAAATTGACGACAATCTAAGTTGGACGTTAACCTGTTGACTGAGATATGATAAAATATATAATCTCATAATCTTAAATGATTATCGTATCTCAGTCAACATTAACGTCCAGCTCAGATGACCGTTAATCTTTTAATGAAAAATGATGAGTCTGGAACATAATGAATAGTCGAGTGACCATTTTATAACTTTTAATAGTCTAGGGACTCGACAAAACAATACCCTATAATCAAAGGACCATTTTGTATCTTTTAACAGTCGAGGGATTCAATAAAATAGTTCCTATAGTTCGAACCGGACCTGATCTATGGATATCTCCTATACTCGATCCAACGGTTAAGAGCTCAAAAAGGGACTCGTGAAGACTGGCTTGGACTGCAAAAAGTAGCCCAATAAAATATATCTACGACCCGTAATCTCCATTTGGGCTCTAATTGTGAACTGGGTCTGATGATATCTACTCATTTACCTGTTCTTTTAAGTTTATGGATACAATCTAATTATATTATGTAAAATTATTTTAATTTTATACATATTTAATAATATTAAATTAATGAAAATGGATTAATAATATTAATAATAAGAAATGAGAATATATTCACTAGAAAAAATAAAGAGTTAATCTCATCCAATGGTCTTAAATCTGTGTAAAATTAAAAGAGTTTTACACATTGCAATTGATTCCTAACTCATGTATATATAATCTACAAAATTAAAAAGGGTAAACTACATTATTTAGTCATCCAACTATCATTTTGATTATTCAACTATATTTTTAAAATCATATGCGTCTTGTTTTGGTCACCCGTGGCTAAAAAATAAACATAACTACTAGCATGACAGTTTCTTTTATTTTTAAATTATGACATGGTATTATCTTATGGTGACACGTCAATATTATTGTTAATTTTTTTAACAAAGAGTGACTTAAACAAAACCTAGTTTTAGTTATGATTTAAAAAAAAATAGTCGAATGATCAAAACAAAACCAAAGTAATAATTTGATGACTAAATCCATAGTTTACCAAATTAAAAATAATATATATAAAATTAAAGTTAAAATATTATAAGCTAAAATAAAATAGTTAAATATGAACTAAATCAATCATGAATCATTATCATTACAAATATAAGCAATGCAAAGTTAAATGTTAATATATATATATATATATATATATATATATATATATATATATATATATATTCATGATAGAATCGTGGATATTTGTTTTAATAATATTATTTATATTATTATTTTCTTTAATATTAAATTTTATTTTTTTAAAAATAATATATCTTATCATTGATTAAAATGATTAAACGATTAATTTTTATTCATTTATATCACGTTATTTAGTCACTTGGCTCATAATATAACCCTTTGACTTTCACAAAATCTACAAGGTTTAAAAGTTCCTTTGGTTCTCCTTAAAGCAAATCCTTTGGTTGTGAAGCAGAAGATCATGAGAAACTAGCGTCCATTATAAATTCAAAAGAGGAGTCTTCATTTGTCTTTAATCATAACCCTCATAATAATTATATTGTTTTAGTTTTCATTTACGATAGTTTTATATTAAAAATTTCGTAACCCGAATGGTTCAATATTTGTGTTAATATCGTAATGTCTGGTTAGTTCAAAGTACAATTGAATAGAGCTCGGATCTTTGACCTTGCCTTTTCCGGGTAGATGCAACAGCCTTTTGCTTATTCTGATCTGGGTTTTCTTCTTGTTTAGGTAAGCAATAAATCTTGGAGTTTCTGGCTATTGGGATTTCTAAATTTATACAATCTTGGATCTTTGTGGTTTGCAGGGGAAACATCAGTTGGATTTGTTTCAAGTTTTCGGCGATTAATTCTGATTTGGGCATCTATCTTTTGGATCTCTAGGGTTGGTTCATCTTTCTTTTGAAGCCATTCATTTTCATTTCATATAGTGGAACTTTGGGTTGATGAAAAAAGGATTTTTCCCGTTGAAATTTTACAATTTACCTCTAATACCCAGTTTTTCTTTGCAGTATCCAAAATCCCATTGTATTTTGTTAACTTAATTAGCCAAAGATTGTTGAAAAAGTTATGGATTTAGCTCAAGAAGAACCTGCTGGGGATGGGGAAATGGAGGAATTGGTTAGATTATCATCTGCCAATATTCCTCGCGTGGAAAATCATCTCCACAGAACACATTTTCCGGGTATTGTGAGGAAGAAAGCATACATATTCGATGGTCTCGGAAATTATTATAACAAGGAATGGGATCTTGCTGAAGGTAGTGGCCAAGAGTTTTGTTGGTACCATGTAGAACTTCCAAAAGGGAAGCAAAAGCTTTCTCAATCTGCACAATACCTTATAGATGTTCTCTGTCCACCATTAAAGCTTCAAGACATTCTCTCTCTTGTTAGTAATGGACCGTTTTGCGGACATGTCGATGGAGCCCTCGTCTTTCGGGTGAATTCAGCTGGCCCTCCCTCAAGTAACTTTACATTTAGATTAGCTGCAAGGGTTACCATGAATTCGGTGATTACCATTTCGTTGGGACGAGTTCCGAGATTAGGTTTCTCGCCTGTTGGACAATCCCTTCTCTCGGAGATTCCTAGTGTCGAAAGTCCATCTTATCATAGAGGAGAGAGGAAGGAAGGGAGTGGATTTGTTATTAGAGAACATGTTCTTGAGTTCTTGTTGACAATGAATCACTCTGAGGAAGCTGACAATCCCGTTCCAAAGTCTGTCTCGAACCTCGTTGTTCACATCCTCGATACACACGTGGATCATCTACAAGATGTTGTTACTAAACTCGAAATGGAGTTGGATTCTGTGGAGCTTGAATTGGATGGAGGTAAATTTCATCAATCACAATTTTGTTTAGCTTCTATCTGAGTAAATACTTGCCTTATTCCCTGTAGCTGTATGTTAACTTGGTTTATAGCTTTTTGAGTGCTAAAGAATGAAATAGTGTCAAATTTCTTTTTTCAAGTTGGTTTACAGATCCTCATTGACATGGAATGAGATTGTGAATATTTGAACTGCAAATGCCAGTGACCGGTAAATGTTTCTATGAACTTATAGGGCATTATACTGTCTGAATACTTAGGATCACTACCATTTATGTACATTTTCCATCAAACCATCCGTGATAGTTCTTGAAACCTATTTGAACCGCATTGGTAAGGATGCTTTTCATATATTTTTCACTCGAGATAACTTAAAAAAATGGTATTTCTGAATTTTGTTGTCTCATGCCTTCTTTGCTCATTATTCGAGTTTATATCACACACTTCCTTTTAAAGTTGCATGTTTTTATTCTGGCAATGAAGTGTCTGTAGATGAAGCTGTAATTGTTCAGCTTAATCTCTCAGGTGGATTTGCTTTAAAGAAAGAGATGCTAGATGAGAGAAGATTCCCCAAAATGCATCTAAATTTGCAACGTCTACTGCAGGTAATTTATCTTTCCAACTTTGTTTATAAATGTCCAAGAGAGTGGAAAACAAACTAGCAGAAAGATATGAGGACATGTTGGGCAGGGTTGAAGGAGGTCCCTTTAGCGTGTCATAGCTATTATAGATTTCTCATTTGGAGGTTACTGAAAATCTGGTGATAGCTTGCATTTGCACTCGTTTTTTTTGCTGATTCATCCTCCAGGATGTGACTTGGTCGAAATTCACACTTATTTAAGGTTTGGTTTATTGTCTGTGCAATTAAAACCATGAGGATTAAACCGTCTTTGCTTTTATGTATTTTGTGAAATGAAGGTGATTGCCCATGGGGAGCAAGTATTTCCCCGAGTAAAGGAAAAATGCTCTTCGAAACATTGGTTTGCTGACGAAGACATCAGCTCCCTTGAAGAGCTGATTGGACGGTTAAGGAGGCTGAAAGAGAACGTAGGGTTTCTAGCAAATCGTGTCACCGCAATTCAGGCCGGTTTGGATAGCTGGCAGTCTGAGCAAATTAACAGAAAACTCTATTATCTCTCTTTTCTTTCTATAATATTCCTTCCTTTATCCGTCATCACCGGAGGTAATACTTTGATATTTGATTACCGATCCCTTATCATGCAAGGTCTTGTTTATTGATATTTCTTTGGTGGCATCATTGGACTCTTTTTTTTATCTCAGTGTTCGGAATGAATGTGGGTGGAGTTCCATGGACCGTGCAAAAGGACCCTGCTCTAAAAGATGGTTTCCGCAATGTCTTGGCTCTTTGTGTAGCGATGCTGCTTCTAGTGTTGCTATGCTTCATTTTCCCTGCTCTTTATACTCGGTTGACTGCCTGGCATCGGAGGAGGTCTTTGAGAAGAAGTTGGTCCCATAACCAGAGATCATTCCTCAAGAGAACAATCGGAACTCAAGAAAGAGGTGGTTACCTCAGGATTTGACAAGGTTAAAGAAATTCATTTCCAGGGTATTTCCGTTTGCTGTTTCCTCAATCACGCATGCAAACTGTACTATTTTCCGATAACATCATTCGACTGTTCTAAAAATATAAATAACGTTGATCACTTCCTCTTATTTAGGCTAGAGGCATCGAAGGCTCTCCGTTAGAGGTGAGTCTTGTTCGTTCACCCGTTTTGTTGTATGTTGTATCATCTTTTCTGAAAGATTCAACTGTGCAGGTGGTTCCATTAAAGTTTGACAGTACAAAGACTTTTTTTGTGTGTGTTTTATTGCGATCTCGGTTTCAAGGATGTTTTTCTTTTTTCGATAATGTCCTTGTCCAGCATCCGAGTCTGAAATTTTCAACGTAGTATAAGAAATTGCTTGTGAAAGTGTTAGAACTGAAGTGAAATCACGGATCCGTTTTCGGCATATTTACGAGGATCCAGTGCACAATTGGTATCATTCGAGCACGTCGCTCGTAAGCTGTTGATTTGTAAATTGTAATCCAAGGTAAGTTGTCACTAAGAATGCAGCCACCATACTCCGGAGAACGGGATAGTTTTCTGTCACATGAACTTTTCTGTTGTTGAGAAAAGACATCAGCCATTGTTGAGAGCTTCAAACAGAAGGAAACTGCAAAGGAAAAAGCACCCAAACCCAACAAATTTCATGTGAGCAGCTATATATAGATTTGGTGGTTGTGAATGGATTCAAAAGTAGAGGGTTCACCCCAATCTAAACTAGAAGGGTTCATGGTCGGGGTTTTAGCTTTGGACGTGGTTTATATATATGGTATTAATTAATTTAATTCAATATGAAAAAAAGAAACAAAAAAGTTTAAAATGTGAAGAAAAATAATCTTCGAATTATGCCAAAAATAAGAAATGTGCACTATATGAGATGCTACAAGTATCAGTTAGGTCAAGTGATAGACGACATGCATGCGTATTGTTTTCAATTATTTAATAAATATATTTTAAGAGACTATATTTAAACTTTTAAAATTTAATATTTAAATAACGTATGATTTTAAAAAAATAATTCATTTTCGTTTCGTTTATTTTGATTATGTCCGATCATGACTTAAGACCTAATAATCGCACTTCAACCTCAATTTCATTCTTGGAGATCTATAAATACGGTCAATCACTAGATTCAAATTTATCATTCAATCGGGGATGGATCGAAGGAGAGGCGGGTGAAGATAATTGTCCCCTCTGAAAAATTTAAAATTATCATATATTTCAATTTTTTCTATGTATTTTTCATTAAAAATACGTTTTTATCCCCTGAATTTTTTTAAATTTATTTCCTCTTAAAATTTTAAAAGTTCATCATCTAACATAGAATTTTACGTCTGTCCCTGCATTTAATTGAATAACAACAAATATAATAAATTACCTAATAGTTAATATTAAGTAAGTTGAGAGATTTATCACTAATATTTAAATAATATAGAGTTTAATAACTTCATGGCTGAAACGATTAATTTTGGACCGTGAAAAATGTTCTAAATTTTACTAGATTCATGCCCATAATTAAAAGAAATTCTGGATGCAAATGTTTAGAAGATAACAATTAACAGAGAGATCTAATATATATTTATTTAATACGATTTTATTTAAATTTTTGTTTGAATCTCATATTATTCAAATATTTAAATATAACCTTCTAAATGTGAAAATAAAACTCACTCATACATGTTGTTATTGTTGTTTGGGTCATACTGGTGCTAACATGAATCTACACACATACTATGTACATTTATTTTTTCTTAGAAAAATTCGCACAATTTTTTTTTAAAATTTTTGATATATTATTTTTGGGTATGATTTCGTTAAATAGTTTAAAAATATTTTTTAGATAAAAAAATTCTAAAATTTAGGAGTAAACGTGGCGTTGCACTAACCATTAGATGGAGTTTTTGTTAACGTGGCATATATTCAGCCGTGAACCGAAGAACAGGCTAAAATGCGGCTGTTAGCTTTGTAAGGCAAATCCTTGAACCCTAAAAACCTCCTCTGACCTCTCCTCGAATTTCAATTTTTCATATTAACTCACACGGTTCCCTAATTTTCATCTCTGTTCGATCCTTCCCTGCTCTTTCCAAGTTATAGCTATGGCTACGGCCGCTCTTCTCCGTTCATTTCGACGCCGTGACGTTGCCTCTGCACCTCTCACAGCCTATAGATGCGTAAGTTTCAACTTTTCTTTTCCTATTTTCTTTTAAAGCCTTTAGAGTTAATTTTTGGTGATTTCTTGGTTGCTCTGTGCTCCGTGGCGTTATCTTCTGTTTCCTTGTTGGGAAATTCCAGGAAAAGGAAAATTTATCTAGATATTCGCATCGGTCTGCAGGTTACTAAAAGTAGTAGATATATTTCATTCGTTTAATTTAAGTTTAGCCGGAAATTCTGCGACTAAAATTTATTTATCTGGAAGCGGTGATATATAAAATAGTCGATAAATGATAAACGTACTTTTTTAGATAATTAAAAATAAGATGGATAGTCCATCCCTAAACATCTATGGGAATTAAAAGAATGGTATATTGATTTCTTTAGTATTTTTCTTAGTTTAATTAGCTTATCTAAAATCAAGGTACTGGTTGTAGCGGACTGTATTTTCGGATCAAATTTGTCTAATATTTTTTACTGGGTTTTCTCGAATTTTGTTCTAGATTTGGTTGTATCTGTATGAGATTGGTTATTGCAGTCTGTTGTTAAGTGCTTAAATGCTTCCGTCATGCCTAATTGGTTGTTGTGCAGCTTACTAGCAACGGCAAGACCTCAGTCGGTATTAATTGGACGAGTTTTACTAGAGCTTTCAGGTAACCGTGGTTTGGGTTATAGTTTCATTATTGTTTATTTGTTGTAAATTTGTGATATCTTAATGTAACTGTTCTTTCTTTCCCTTTAGAGCAGTTCTAAGCCGGTTGGAAATGATGTCATTGGTATTGATTTGGGTACAACCAACTCTTGTGTTGCTGTCATGGAGGGAAAGGTAAGAATCAGACTTGTAGACAGATGTTCTTAACAGTTGTTTGGTTTGGAAGTTAAAAATATTATTGTGATCATTCTCTGATTGAATCTGTGACTGATTTCAGAATCCTAAAGTTATTGAGAACTCTGAAGGTGCACGGACCACACCATCTGTTGTTGCCTTCAACCAAAAGGGGGAGTTACTTGTGGGAACCCCTGCAAAACGTCAGGCTGTGACCAATCCTACTAATACAATTTTTGGAACCAAGCGTCTGATTGGTAGGCGTTTTGATGATCCCCAGACACAAAAAGAGATGGGGATGGTTCCTTACAAGATTGTCAAGGCTCCCAACGGAGATGCCTGGGTTGAAGCAAATGGACAACAATATTCTCCTAGCCAGGTTGGGGCATTTGTTTTGACCAAGATGAAAGAAACTGCAGAGGCTTTCCTTGGAAAGGGTGTTTCTCAAGCAGTTATAACTGTTCCAGCTTATTTCAATGATGCTCAGAGGCAAGCAACTAAGGATGCTGGTAGAATTGCAGGTCTTGATGTTCAGAGGATTATAAATGAGCCTACTGCTGCTGCTCTTTCATACGGAATGAACAATAAGGAGGGTCTCATTGCAGTCTTTGATCTTGGTGGTGGCACATTTGATATTTCAATTTTGGAGATTTCTAACGGCGTCTTTGAGGTATGCATCTTTTTCTTTGCAAAGAGGGTTTGTTTTGGCATTGATTTGTACTATTAACTAATATATTCAGGTCAAAGCAACGAATGGTGATACTTTCTTGGGAGGAGAGGATTTTGACAATGCCTTGCTAGATTTCTTGGTGAGTGAATTTAAGAAAACTGAGGGGATTGATCTCTCAAAGGATAGGCTTGCACTCCAGAGGCTTCGTGAAGCTGCTGAGAAGGCTAAAATCGAACTCTCATCGACATCGCAGACCGATATTAACCTGCCATTCATAACAGCTGATTCTTCTGGGGCAAAACACTTGAATATCACATTGACCAGATCAAAGTTTGAATCCTTGGTAAATCACTTGATTGAGAGGACCAAGGCTCCTTGTAAGAATTGTTTGAAGGATGCTGCCATTTCAACGAAGGATGTTGATGAGGTTCTTCTAGTTGGAGGCATGACACGAGTACCTAAAGTACAAGAAGTGGTTTCCGGGATCTTTGGCAAGAGTCCAAGCAAAGGAGTTAATCCTGATGAAGCAGTTGCTATGGGAGCTGCAATTCAGGGTGGTATACTTCGTGGGGATGTTAAAGAGTTGCTTCTGCTTGACGTCACTCCTTTGTCCCTTGGTATTGAGACACTAGGTGGTGTATTCACAAGGCTAATCAGCCGCAACACGACCATTCCAACAAAGAAGAGTCAGGTGTGTCTTTGGCATAATTTTTTAGCATTTTTTTTAATTTTGTTGGCTTTTAATTTCAAATAAGCTCAAGTTTAGCCTGTTTGGTTGCTTCCACCCATATGTTATATGAATATTGTTTTTGTTTCATGTTTGATGGAGTCTCCTTGGTTTTCAGGTGTTCTCTACAGCAGCTGATAATCAGACTCAAGTAGGTATCAAGGTGCATCAAGGAGAGCGTGAAATGGCTGCCGACAACAAAATGTTGGGTGAGTTTGATTTGGTAGGAATCCCTCCTGCTCCGAGAGGTATGCCTCAGATTGAGGTGACATTCGACATTGATGCGAATGGTATTGTCACGGTGTCTGCCAAGGACAAGGCCACTGGTAAAGAACAGCAAATCACCATCCGTTCATCCGGTGGTCTCTCAGATGATGAGATCGAGAAGATGGTTAGGGAAGCTGAGTTGCATGCCCAGAAGGACCAACAAAGAAAAGCTTTGATCGATACCAAAAACAATGCAGACACCACTATTTATAGCGTGGAAAAGAGCTTGAACGAGTACAGAGAGAAGATTCCTAGTGAAGTTGCGAAAGCGGTCGAGGATGCTGTTGCAGATTTGAGGAAGGCAATGGAAGGAGAGGACGTTGACGAGATCAAGGCCAAGATTGATGCAGCAAATAAAGCTGTCTCAAAGATCGGTGAACACATGGCTGGCGGTGGTTCCCAAGGCAGCTCTTCCGGAGGTGCTCAAGGCGGTGAGCAGCCCCAAGAGGGAGAGCATGAGGAAGGGAAGAAGCAGTGATTCTGTTACTGATTTTGTTGTGCTGGTAAATGCCACTGAAGATTATCCTTTAGTTTGATTACTATCGTGTTCAAGAGTTTGTATCTAAATAAAGGTTGAATACATTGCTAGCCTCTTACGAATTTGAGTCCAGACCTTCCAAATTTTTCTTAAAAAGTGGAAAATCAACGAGGGAATGTAAATTATGAGTTGGAATTTGAATTTTACTAAAATTTTTAAATTATCCAAATTTCTTTCTATTTAGAATTTTAAATTTTGAAAAAGTAGATAATTTCTAGTCCTCCCCTTACGCTTGAATCCTAAGAAAAATAGCGGTGGTGGGTCTCAAATTTCAATCCATCTTGCTTTAATATTATGGTTTTGATTTGAAATTTTTTATATTTAAATTTTTATAATTTAACTTTTTGTAAATTATATTAAAATATTTAATTTTATTTAAAAAGTTAACATCTTATTAATTTTATAAAGTTTAATTAATTCATATAATTAATTCAGTGGCAAACTGGTCTTTTTCATGCCTTTCTTCATGAAGTATCCAACAAGACACTTTTGATGGCGCCATCTTTTGTCATTAGTTGCTTATTGAAGTTTTATAAAAAAATTATATTAATAAAGTGACAGATATTTCATAGATATTTATAAAACTTTGAGATATTTTTTAAGATAATATATATATTTGAATTAATCACTGATATCTGATCTATTGACCGACTAATATAGATCAGGTACTGCAGAGGATAGGGCGATCCTCCTAACCCAGTTTGCTCCATTCGCAAAAGTCAGGATTCGAACATCTAATATGACTTAACGAACCTAATGTTTCATCTCACTAAACCAACTAGGTATTAGTTAAGATAAAATATATTAAATATCATATAATTATATTTAAATGAATTGTTTTAATTATTAATTATTTAAAAGTTATAAAATACACATTAAATTTATTATTAATACGATTATTAAGTTCTATAAATTATTATAAAATGATCATTAAATTTTATTAATTTTTTTATAATTATTATAGATTATAACTTTTGACTTTCTTGTAAAACTTTAATGAATTTAGTGATTATTACTTTTAAAAATTAAAGATATTTTAATATAATTTAATATTTTTTTAATGCAAATGAGACATTGGTGTGAATTCAAATGTTGGATTAGCATGCTTTGAGAAAAGACGAGGCAACATCCATTGTCAATTATCAACAAGCAAATTGTCGTTTACTAATGATATACATTTGAATTTGAAGATTGCTTGTCAAAAAGGAAATGGCTAAGGTTTAGATTTTATATTCCGAACTTGATTAAAAGTCTCTCCAATCTTATCACTAATTAGTTGATTTAACGAGATAAAAAAATTAAAATTTTAAATAAAATATAATAAATTAAATTAAATTTTTAAATAAAATATAATAAATTAAATTAAATTATAATAAATAAATTAAAAATATAACTCTCATCGTAAATCCTTATAGTAATCGATTAAAATTAATTAGATAAATTAAATACGGATAATTGATTTAACGAGATAAAAATTAAATTTTAGGGGGCATATATTCTTGAACAAAAAAACAAGTGAATCAACATCGACGGTGGCCATTAAAAAGCTTAAGAAAGCAAAGAAGTTGCATAGTTTCTTCAAGCATCGATTCCATGGAAAAGGTATTAAAAAATCAGCGGCTTTTGGATAAGAAAGCAATAGAACAACAGCGGCTGCTTAAAGCCTAAAACTCTGGGTCTGGGTAGACATAATTGAAATTATAATCGCAAATTCATAAGCTTAAAAGGAAAATAACACACTGGCAATAACTTTAAATTATACTCACGAATTCTTCTGATAATTAAATCAAACTGAACCTTGTGAAAGATTATTTGGCACTTTAGCCTCGCCGCCGCCGCTTCTCATTTCCCCACTAACTGCCGCGCCGACGCCTTGATACTGAGGTGGCATCATACCACCTCCCGGCGCAGTATAATAAACCTGTCTGTCGTAGGCCGCCATGTGTGCGTATGCAGCATCTGGTGGTACTCCACCACTCTGCGGCCTCACCATCTGCTGTGTCATGCCGGGCATTGGCGGGTGTTGTTGGGTATGCGGAGGTTGTGCCACCATGTTGTAAACAGGTTGCTCCCTGTAGACTTCGTGTGGGTGTGGCATTCTTTGTACGTTGGTGTAGTAGCCTTGACCGGTTACTGGTCGACCCATTTGTGGCGGTGGTGCTCCAGGTGCAGGAGCCGAAACCGGTGGAGGCGCGTGGTAGACGGTACCCAGACCCGATCCTTGTGCAGGCATCATGTAGACGGGATGTTCAGACGGCGGCGTTGGGTTGGTGTTTGAAGTTACGGTTGCCGGGAAACCTCCAGCGGAAATTGGTTTATCCGACCAGAATCCACCTGTAGCCTGCACATGTTGCTGGAAATTTACCGGTACGTTCACCGGCGGCGCTTTTTCAGGTACCTTCTGTGCGTAATATTCCCCTGCATAAGCCATGGAAGCAGCGTCTTCAGCCTTCTTTCGATACATAGCGAAGCTGTTCTTGATCCCGAATTTGAAGCCTCTGCAATTCTTGTAGCTGCCTCTGAATATCAACCGGATCCAAACCATGATCCGTCCCCACGACTTCCTGTACCGGAAGCGCGTTCACCGGTTCCGCCGCTTGATCGAGGATTTTCATCGGAGAAGTAGGTGGAGGCATCCCTTTTTCAAGTCCAAACAAATAATCCATGTTGTTTGCTTGAACCGCAGCGTGTTTTTCGACACCCGGATTCGGACCGGAATTCAAAGCCTCGACAAACCGGTCGCGCTCCGATCTCGCCCCTTCTGAACCGAAACTCGCAGGACCAGTCGGCGGAAAAATGAAAAGCCGCATCCTCACTGGCTTAGCGGAGGCTCGATAAAGTCGATCGTACTCATGCATCATGTGCTCGAGATCATCATCGTTTGTAACAGAAATAAGGGCGTCGAGATCTTCTCCGGTAAGTTGGTACTTGAAGGAAACCTCACCGTCACCACCGCCGCAGAGAGCGGAAAGTTTAGAAACCATGGAAGAGAATTTGATAGTGCGTTCAACGGCTAGGATCTTGGTCTCTCCGCCGATGTAAGCTAACTGGTTGTCATGAGGACGAGGATGAATCTTACCTCCATAGCTGCACATGAACTTCGCTTTGTAATTTTGACCATGTTGAGGTTGGTCCTCCCATGGCGGTGGATTTTCAAAGTCGATTTCGCGGGATCGCGGCGAAGATTCGCCGGAGTCCGGGTACGAGTTATAAGAGTAATTCTCCATTTTTAATAAAACAAAGTATTTTTGAAGAGAGCTTTGAGAGAGTGTTTTAAGATTTACAATGAATCCATGGAGATATGCAAGACGCTGATATCCTCTGCCTTTGTTGGGGGTTACGTGGCAGGGAAGAGGGTTGGTGGGATATGATGACCAGCAGGTTTATGGGAATTCTGTACTGCCATAAAATGCCAAGGAGAATCCGATGTTTACAGAATTTGTTAAAATAATATTTAATTATTTTTATCCATCTACTCTATTTATTTTTATTTATTCCATCACGTTAGGTGTTAAGCTAAGCCCTTGAAGATAATAAATAAGAAAAATTAAAATTAAAAAAAAAACAGGACTGTTTAAAATGTCATATAGCAAATTAATTTATATATAATTATAGGGTTGTGGTGTTGCATTTTGATAACTTTCAAAATTTGTTAAATTTAAGATATTCAATTCCACCTTTTAACTCTTAAAAAGTAAAAATTGTGTTGTTGATCTCGTCGCTAAACAGATGTGAAAAAAGTTAAGAGGACATTGTATTTCTGTAAAATCCCCCAAAAGAAATAGAGGAGTTGTTATTAGCCGATATAACGGGAAGCTAGGTGCCCTCGTAAACATGTACTCAACCAAAACTAAAAACATGTTATTACACTTTTAAAATCATCAAAATCTACCTTACCTGTGATCGTTCTAAGATTTTAAGGCTCAATATACACATTTGATATATAAAATATAATATTAAAGTGAAGTTCGCATATTGAAATATATGTTTACAATTAGAGGATGTTTAATTCATATAATATGAATTTATCTTTGATGATGAAATTATCAAAATATAATTTTAATTGAAAAGTCAAATTCATATAACTAATTGAAAAAAGGTTAACTACATAAACGGTCACCAAACTTTTAAGGCACTTGAATTTTGGTCACTCAACTTTTAAAACTTGCAATATAATCACTAAACTTTTAGTTCGTTTTCAGTAAAATCCCTAACGTTACATTAGATTAGTTTTATCTAACGTGACATGTTACCTCCCATTAACCCCCTTCTTCTTCTTATTTCTCCAAGCGGTGACTCATCTCATCACTTATCATGTTATTCCAGTCCCCAATAATCCTAGTCCTGAAATATGCATTGTTTCGCATCCCCACCCAAGGATCCACGCCATTTTTGTTTACCTCCAAGTTTTTCAACCTCTCCAAGTTGCACCACCATATACCATATTCAACCTATTTATCATTAACAAATGATTTCCCATGAACGAAGCTAGCTTATTCACCTCTTTAACGAGTTTTCTTTTAATGTATTGGTACTTCAAAACATCACCTTATTGGGGCATTGTAAGCTCTGGTTCCAATGCTGTAAAACGTGGTTGAAGAGCGGCCTGAAATGGGAAACACCATTGATGAACAACTAGAATGCTCTCTCGAATAGGTACAGACCTTGTTGTGTCGTTCTCAGCTTGTTGAAAAAATGCCACATCGAAACTAGTATGTCTTTAGGGTTTCTCGCGATGTAAACAAGCTTGCAGTTGATGGTTTTAATGGAGTCCGACAATGTCGCGTAGGGCAAGTGAGTGTGGAATAGCCTTGGAGATTTCATGGCATGGCAGAAATGACCGACAACGAGTTTAAAGTGTAATTAAACTTGGACTTCAAAGGTTTGAACGTAGACGACGGGGTGGTTTTCGACGAGCGGGTCACGATGGTGGTCTTCGTTTGTCTTGGACAATGTTTCTCTGTCTCCGTTGGAAGTGACAGCATTGGGGATAGAGAAACAAAGGGCTTTGAGCCATGTAGTGTCGGTTTTCATGGGGGATGCTAAGATGATATAGTCGTGTCAGGGGGAGAAATGTGAACGGAGAGCCTTTGTTGCTTGGAGGTGATAAGGTATGTACCAGAAACCTTGCCATTGATACA